CACAAATCCACAAGATCCATGAAGCTTTTTCACACTGATCTTTAGGGGCCGATATCCATTCACTGTCTCTTGAGATCAATGTATTATCTTGATCATCATTGATGATTTCAGCAAATTCACATAGATCTTCTTTTTGAAACAGAATAGTGATACATTGATTAAGTTTTGACAGTTCAAATCAATGGTCAAACTACCTGGAAAGTTCAAACTACAAGTCATACGGTAATATAGGGGAGGAGAGTATATGTCACATGAATTCATTCAATTTTGTGACGAATCTAGAATAGCCAAACAACTCACTCAAGCTCATACTCCTCATCAAAACGATGTCGTAAAGAGGGAAAATAGGAGCTTGTTAGAAAAATTAGAAGTATGGCATTTGCGTGCAATGTACCTTCTTTCTTGTGGATTGAAGCTATTGCAACCGCCAACTATGTCATCAACATGATACCCACGCGAGCAAATGGTGACGACAATCCATATTGCAAGCTCACAAGTCTCACTCTTGAAGTAAGACATCTGCAAGTTTTTAGTTGCAGAACACTAGTTCTTAACACCTCTCCAACCAGGAAGAAATGGGCTCCTCGCACCAATGAGTGCCTTTTTTTTGGCTTTGATACAACTTCCACGGAGTATCTTAATTAACATCAAAAGATTAGTTAGATCTTGATGTCGAAGGACGTGCGCTTTGATGAAAGCTTCTTTTCGCTACTCATCTTCACTTCAACGTCGGTCAAATCTGCACTAGAAGATTGGCTTGAGGTGATTGATGATCCTGGAGCGGCACCATCACCTCCATGCACTCCATGTGCTCCATCAAATCATTGAATTATCGATCCATCAATTGGACAATCCAACATTGATCTCGTGCATATCATTGACAAGGTTGCTTTATCATTGGTCAACCGTGGTACTATTGATCTGCTACCACCTTCATGATATGATGTTTCGAGTGCTTCGTCTCCTCAAAGACAAATACAGTTGGGTGATTCTTATTTCGATGGCTCAACTTCAATTGGTGATTTTTCAGTGCAACCATCAATGTGCCCTGATAAGTCCAATCAAGCTCAGCTTCCGCTTCACACCTACCACCTCAGGCAAGTTTCATCATCTTCATAACTCCCATGGAGTTCTCACTCCAGACAACCTCATGTTCACCTCCAAGACTTCTATCTCAATGTTGCTGAGGTTGAACAACTTGGCCATGATTTGTCCGGCTCCACACAAGAAGTAATGAGTCATCCTAGTTGACGAGCAGCAATTGAAGACGAACTTAGTTTGATATATAAAAATGACACTTGGGATTTGCTGCCATTGCCTTATGATCGAAAGGCCATTTCAACCAAGTGAATCTTTCAAGTCAAACACAAAACGTATGTAATTACTGCCAAGTTTAAAGCAAGATTGATGGCCAAGAAATTTCAGCCGCGTGAAGATCATGACTACACTAAAACATTTGCACCGGTTGTGAAATGAAATACCTTGCAAAGCGTCGTATCATTGGTTTGTCATCAAGGTTGTACAATTGTTCATTTGGATGTCAAAACTTCCTTCTTCAATGGAAACATACAAGAAGACATTTATGTGAAGCCAGCCCCAAGATTTGAGTCTTGGACTCATCCTCACCACGCTTGCAAGTGAAGAAGTCTTTGTACGGTTTGAAGCAAGCTCTACGTGCATGATTTTGCAAGGTTGACGACTACTTGACCGTTCAAGGCTTACAAAAGTCTAATGCGGACAAGAGTTTCTGTTTTTACGAGGAGAACAACCTTCTCACGTTACCTGTCCTCTATGTGGATGACGTCTACTTAACGGAAAACAACCTTTCCCACATCACACAACTTTGGAGAGAGATTCAAACCGCCTTCGATATGACCGATCTGGACACCTCATCGTACTCCTTGGAGATTGAGTTTTTATTCAACCCTTATAGCATCCGTCTCACATAACCCCAATATATCAAGTCTATGCTTGTTGACTTCAGACTTAGCGAGTGTCGCCATGTGGCGACATCTATGACTGAGAAGACTCATCTGCTGCCAGACTTGAGAACGCCACATGCCAATCGAATGCTTTACCAGACGATGGTTGGCAAACTCATTTTTCTTGACACATACAAGGTCACATATTGCTTGTGTCGTAAGCATCGTTAGCAGGTTTATGGTTGTCCTGCAGTAGATCTACGTCCAAGCAGTAAAACATATATATTGGTATCTCAAGGGTTCTACTAACTTTGCACTGATTTACCCCGGAGAGGAGGAAAACAATCTGCTTGGCTACACCGATGCTAACTAGCAGTCGACGCATATGACAAAAAATCCACCATAGGATATCTATTTCTATTGGGGAGCAGCCCTATCACATGGAATAGCAAAAAGCAACCTACCATTGCTTTTTCATCAACTTAGGCCGAATACATGATGATCACCGAGGGCATCAAAGAAGTTGTGTGATTAAGGAGACTATTTGGAGAGCTCAAAATCCAAGGTTTGAAGAAACCGACAGATTTCTTCAAATCACAAAGACAATCAAGGAAGCCTCAATTCAGCTCACAATCCAGTTTATCACAGACACAAAACACATCAAGGTAAAGCATCATATCATTAGAAAAAAAGATTGTTTCCAATGAAATCAATTTAGAATATGTTTCTACAACTGAACATCTAGCTAATATCTTAACTAAAGCCTTAGGGAGAATAGCTTTTGAAAGACTCAAGAAACTTCTAGGGTTGATCGATTTGGCTACTTAAGTCTCATGCTCCAACTTAAGTTTCTAATACTCAGGAGTAGAATCAACACTAAGCTCATCAAAGCAGACCAAACCTGCTCACAAACAACCCCATCCTGAAACAATGGAATGAGAGATTTGAATGGGCTATCCATCTCCAAAGAAATCGAAGCATCATGGCCGGAGTCGCCAACTGTACCACCATCAGGAAAAGCTACCTTTGACTATTTGGCCTTCTTTCGACACGACTAGAGGCAGAACTGAAATAATTACCATAGAGTAAAGTCATTAATTATTGATTTACAAAAAGTTTGCAGCTTCTCTTAGTCAGAGTTAGACATAAATGCTTGTGAACTAAACAAGAGTTTTTTTACATGAATCATCTCAAATCCGGAGCGAAGGAGGTTGTTGATACATGAACTCTGATAGTGTTGAAGCTCGTAGTGTAGAGATAGAAGAGGTAGTATGGTAATAGAACCAAGCTATAGAGGTAACACTCTAACAGCTACCGAGGCAAGACAAATGGCGCTTTAGGTTAATGAACCGCATGTTAGGGTTACCACGCCGCACATCGTCCCTTGACTACCTCTGATTCCATGTACTTAAGTTATTGTTTTCAATAACAAAAACTATTTGTGTAAAGTGACTGCTTGTTAATACGATTCTCTACATCCAGTTATATATGTGAGAAATTATGGATGAAATTGATCGAATAATTTGCACATTGAATTATTACTCTGTAAAATTGATTAAAATGTCTGTCTTGGATTCCTGCAAGCAATGATGACTAATCGTGACTAATCTCATTAGAGATTTGTGACTAATTTGCTTCAAAGTAGACACAAGTAAACATATGACTACTCTACATAGGCTGGAAATTATATTAGATTATTTTAATTAGAAAAAATTTTAGATATAGACAGATAAAAAAACTAATTTTTTCAATAAAATCAAATAAATTTGATAATTTGTTGTCAACAAATCGTTAATGAATAATGTATGGTATATGAACTTTAAACATATTAGAAAAAAATTAATTGATCCACATAAAACTAACAATGACTTCAATAGATTTTTTTTACTTAAATATAAATAAGCAGTGAAAAGCAACTCAACATATTTTACATAAATTAGTGTTAAAATAATCTCCTTATGTATGTACTTACTTATACATACATACATATGGAGTGTATTTTAATACACACCATACGTATACGTATGTTATACATATGTATAAGCTACGTCATCATTTGGTAAGTACGCTTTTACCGTAAGACCTAATGCTGCAAATAATACATCCTCAATGTTTAATCAGAATGATATACTAAACCAGAATAACATTAGTACCTGATAGATGCCCCGCTCACATGCTTCGAAACCTCTTCTTCTTCCGTCCTGGAGGAAGACGTTTCTAAGTACATTACGGTACTCACTCAGGCATGTCGAAGGGCCGAATTCCTTCTCAGTCCTTCTGCACTATTTCATCGAAACATTTACTTGGCAATAACCAGGAGGTGGTGACTCACCAGAGCTTACCCAGAAATTTTCCAATTAAATCATATGTTCTGCTCAGAACTTAGTTTTACCTTCCAGGATATGAACAGAACCACGCTACAGGGTCAGACAAACACAATCACGTTCGCCCGGCGTGTCTATGAATACAACAGACCATCATAGAACTCACGGTGAAGAAAAAATGATGCGCACGAGCACCGCAAACATTCCCGATAAGCGGGACGTTGTCTCCTGACCGACGCCAAATTCCATTTCTGGTTTCGTGCCAATTAATCTGGATTAGCTTTGCCCGGTCCTGAGTCGGGACGGGACTCCGTAGGGACAGGCGCTGTTGGAGTCACGGGACAGGTCCGCAGCGCGGACAGGCAAAATATCGAAGCTACCATTGACAGCGTGGACGGAAGGCCATGGATGGATGGATAGATGGATGGCAGGTGATAAGAAGCCGCCGGAGTTTCGGCGGGACACGTAGAGCAAAGCGAGCGCGGAAGAAAGTGTTGCGGAAGGCGTGTGACCCAGAGAGGACCACGTCTCATTGGCGGAGCATGGATGGATGGAATGCCGGACGCGGAAGGCGGAGATGGACAGAAGTCGAGAGAAGCGAAGATTCTCTCGCGGGTCAACCGAGATTCTCCGTCGTCCGCGCGCCGTTTGAGGGACGGGCCGTCGCCGTCGAAGGGAAGGGCTGGGCTTGGCTTGCCAGTGGGCAGGCGCTGTTTAGGATGACGAGAAGCGCCGGGCGCTCATTTGCTGCCGTCGCTTCCGAGAGCCCCACCAGAGAGAGGCCCTCGCGCTCCGCGCAGACAGAGGCGAATTTCTGTGCCGCAGTCGATTTTGCGCTTCGATTCTCCGCGACGCGAAGCTGGGATGCCTTCGGGTTGCGAGCACCTGCAATCCATCGTGGGTCTCGGAATTCGTGCGCCGATTCGACGACGTCCTGTTTCGTAGGAAGTCAGGCGAAGGGCTCGGCTTGCTGTTGTTCATGGGGATGAATGCGCAGGCTGGCGTCGAGGATAAGATTTTCCTTGTAACGATGCGAAGCTCGTGGTCTGGCTAACGCGAAGGCTCAGTCAGGATTTGGAGGGCGGGAGTCTCTGATATGTAAGGGGCAGAAACGTGGGGACGAGCAGATAAGCCCAGAAATGCTTGCGTTATCAGAGAGTTTTACCAGGTACACCCTCTTGCCTCATCTTTCTAGAATTTTCGTTCGCCGCGGTGAGAAGTGAGAAAGCTGGGGTACACGGCAAATTGCACAGAGGCTGGGTGACTGGTTGGAGGCGTAGTGAAATTGCGGGACGATATGTTCGAGGAATTCTGCCTTTTTCACCGAGTGATAAATGAGCACTATGTAGGAGCATGAATGTTTCCGTGTGGGATTGCATTGGCATCATCTCAGAAGGGTTTAATGCTACAATGATAGCGTACACGAAAACCCTCTTTTGGATGGAGGGTTTAGGTAGTACAGATTTGTAGACCGTCTGTGTTTTCTTGGGAGTTACTCGATATTTGCATCTTCCGAAGTCTGTAGTAAGCAGAAGGAATACGCACATTCGGAGTCGGAGAAGGCATTAACATTGTGCTGAGAAGCCGAGGTTGAGAATTTAGCCTTCTGGTTTGCTCGTTCCTCTTCCTCAAATTCAGCATTGTAGTAAATTACGTCATCTTCTGTGCAGGTCGGTCTTGGACATCTCGACATCTTGCACCCCTGGAATTGCGCGAAGTGGTTTTCCCCTATCGTTTTGTCATCTCAAGCTCAAACCTAAGAAGCGACCCCGCCTGTCTCTCAGGCCTCACGTCAATGCCTCAAGCTGTGGGCGGGATGGAAGAGGATTTCTTCAATTGTACCAACGGGAGAGCTGTTACTTGGACTGTAGAGTGCTGTTCGCAAGACGACATGACTCTTCTAGAACGTGCTCTGTTCATACCAGAGCCTCCTCCCTCTTAGCTCATGGAAGTAGACCTGCTGTTAAGCTGCATGTAGATACTAGTGACACCGGTTTAGGGCCCTCGGTATCGAAACCAGATGCAGACGTCCAGCAGTCAGTTCAGCCCACTGTTGAAGCTGCACAACAAATTCCGGAAGCGGAAGATGATGAAAGTGTCGGAGAGAGAGAGAAACTGCGGCGCCAAAGGATTGGCCTGGCTAATAAGGGGAAGGTGCCTTGGAATAAGGGCAGGCAACACAGTCCAGGTGAGTGCTCTTGCAAATTCCTTATAACATCTCCTACGTGGATTCAGCTGTCCAGCTGTCGAGGCACTTTGCAATATACCGCAGTTACTCACTACTATATCACCCTCATCAAGGCCGTGGGTCAGAAACATGCTTCAGTCTGAGTCTATTGCATCATGCCCTTCTCGAGCTGTCGTGTATCTGCTGGTCCTTAATATATTCTTGGGCGTGCAGAGACTATTGAACGCATTAGGCAGAAAACTTATCAAGCAATGCATTCTCCTAAGGTAATAAACATCTCACGGGCTCCAACTACGGAATCCCTCTCTTGTTCTCAAAATTCTCTGTACGTGAACACTTTGACATCTATCCCAGTGTATATGAACTCAAGAGCTTGTCACCACTGCATCCACCCACCAGTCAGGTCACAAGTTCGTGTTCCATTCTCTTTATGATCGCTAGAACTGAAGTCTCATAAAATGTGTCGGTTTGTGCCAAGCAGGTGATGGCAAAGCTGAAACTGAATCCTCGACATCCCCAAACGTAAGCACCCTTTTGTTGGTTGATTTCGCATGGCTGATGTAGCATTTCGCCGTTTGCATACTGGGAGCGCTGGTTATTTTCAGGTCGACCTTATGCACAATTTTTGTACTGTTCCTGATTCCTAGCTTCCTATAACATTAGACAAAAGATGTGGTCGTCCCTTTCATATCTTCTACTTCACTTCTGAGTTTCAGTTTGAATTCTTCTTGCAGCGACGCAACGAGGGTAAAAATTAGGGACAAATTGCGAGAGCAGTGGGATCTGAAGAAAAAGATACGGGGCTACCAAGAGAGTTGTCTCCAAGAGTGGAAAGCCAGCGTGGCAGAGGCGGCAAGGGTAGGGGGGCATGGTGAGGAAGAATTGCAATGGAATAGTTATTCAGTAATCAAGAAGCGGTTGCGCGAAGCAGAACGAGCAGCAGCGAAGAAACCAAAGCGAGTTGCCAAGCCCAGACCTTTGAAGACGGAGGAGCATCGTCAGAGAATATCAGCTGCCATCAGGGCCAAGTGGGAGGACCCAGTAAGCACCTTCCAAAAACCGAATTGCTTAGAATATTGGACACACAAATGTTTGCTTGGACTGGTGTTCTACGTAAAACAGTCACCTCTCACGAGGTTCACTTTGACAATCTGGAGTCCATACCGTGAAGTGTGCAATTCTTACCCGAATCACTTGATTAAATTGTCCTAGTTCCGAAGGGACCTCTAAGATAAATGTTTTGGTGTTAATGGTAGCCGTGTCTGTGATGTCAGGAATATCAACATAAGGTAAGGACTGGAATGTCGAAGGGCGGGAAAGTGTCAGCACCTAGGAAGAAGAAGCCACCGGCCTCGGGAACTGGGGTCTTTGAGAAGAAGACGAGCTCGGAGAAGGCCATGGACCAAAGTTTCATAGAGGCAGTTATGTCAGCTGAGAAACCTCGAAGACTGCCGAGAAGTGACACCGAAGAATTTGACGAGGAACACACGCCAGAGTCACCATTGATAAATGCAGCTAGGCCTTCTGCGCAACCCATAAGGAAGGTGAATCTCCTGCAAAAGGTGGCTCTCCAATCTGAGCCTGACGAGAAATTATTCTTGCATTCATCTAAGCCTGTTGATGAGCCAACATCATCGAAACCCAATTTTTTTGTCGATCCCAACGCAAGCGAGAAGCTCCAGAAACTGAAGTTGCTTCAGGCTAACCGTGCTGTCATGGAACAGCGACGAAGGGAGTCAGCTTATCATGCACGGTAAGTCCCATCATACCTATTCAAAACAAGCATGTCTGGAGTATCAAGATTTACTTGTTGCCTTTTAACTGTGACTTACACAAACTAAGGTACAACCTCAACTTGTGCAGAGTATTAATGGCAGAAGCAGAGAAAGCTGCCAATGCCCTGGAGGCCGCAGCGTCCAAGGATGAGTTTGCCATGGCATCCTTGACGGAAACGCGCAGGCTTATGGCAGAAGCCGCCCGCTTTATCAAGACAGCTGAATCTGGGAAAGGCAGGTTGACCGGCTCGAGCCAATCCTCTTAAGAGGAAACAGATTTCTCTGAGGTTTTGTATCAAATTTTACAAGGACCAAGCCATCAAAGCACTGTACCATTGTGCCATTGTACTTTACTACATTCCGAAAAGTTATCGTCAGCCAGCCTTTAAACAAGAATTCTGGCTAGGAATTATTCAACTCAGGACCAATTTAACTCAGATCAATGTATTTTTGGCAATAAATTATCTCGATTGATTCTGTGCACGATGTCATGTGTGTACAGGAGTGTGACGGTTTATCTTACCGTGAATGTTATCAAATACTAGAGTTTTCCTTGGTGTAGAGGAGCTATTTCTGTACTATATGGGGTGTAGTAGGTTCTCATGTTTCAAAAGTAAAACGTGTAGGCTCTCAACTTCATTTCAGGCCACTCTTAGGAAGGGACATGCTCCGCCTTCATTGCTCTCCGTTCACCGGTCGTTTACAGTTTTCTCACATTTGTCGCAGCTTTTTACTTTATGAAGGATGAGGATTCCTTTGTGGATACGAAATGAAGTCTAAGTTCAACCGAAGAGAATGTTTGACTTTCTACGTCAGTGACAGATGAATTGCTACACATCATGAGTGGAAGAGAGTATGTCAAGTTCGGAGAGACCCTTCACACCTGTTTGTGGTTTACACAATTAGAAAAAATCAGTTTTATTTGGCCTCTGCTGGTGATGCCGTCTCTTCGAGTATCGAATGAGAATGGTAGAACACGTCTTTTAAACCGAGCCCTGAAAGGAAGAGAACTCTTCGTCGTGAAGATGGCGTACGAATTTTCATATATATCTTCAGAGGTAGCGTAACAAGGAAGCTTTGCACTGACTTGTGTACCAAGTGTACCCTATCAGGTAGGCGATTGTAGCCAATTATCAGTAGTCACTGCAGAGGATCATTCGTTCAGAAGACGATCATTATGTCTTGAGGATCGTACTACTACGGAAAGACTCAAGAGCACGGTCTCTCAGCCGACTCTTTATTTTTATGCTTCTGAATTTTTGGTGTTTTGCTGCCACTGGCGTCCAAAAGCTCCAAACGATTGATAATCCTAGAGTGCCCACTAGGACCACATCTCGAGGCACACTCGATTGTCTTTTCACGACGCTTACATCATGGTAGAGTAAGTTCCAAACTGTACACGACCTTCCTCTCTTGAATTTTCTTGAACTGAGGATTTTTTAAACGAAAAATATATGTGCCTAAATTTTTATAAAAAACCGTTCAAATAGAGCGAGCTTTTTCGTGAGGCAAGTAGATACTGCAAATAAGTTGAATGAAGTCGAGCTAAGCTCACACATTCTGGTCTGGTCACAACATTTACCAGATACGAAGTCTAACTTCCATTGAGTACCCGAACTCATCCAACAGGAATAAATGGAGCCATATTGAGAAGAACCGGTGTGCAAGTAACAGATATTACGCAAGGGCCACAGCTGCTGGTTGCTGGCGAAATTACAAAGACGAAATTAGACAGAACGGGATATGATGACGTTTGTTGGAGAGGGAGATAATCTCTGGGCCCTAAATGGGGCAAAGACCTCCTCCACTCAAAATAGGCTGCCGACGCTGACTTCAAGTGCCAGACTCTGAGCCTCACGACAAAACGTTATCGGGCTGGATGTCTTCCACGCCTTCGCTCCTTTCTGCAGTTTCCGTGTATTTCTCGCTCATTTCAAAGTACGTAGATGGTAACAAAGTTTTTTTTACCTTATTCTAACTTACTAACATAAGTCTTCATTTGAATGAGAAATTTGTTTCATGTGACCCCATCAGAAAACTTACTACTTGATGGGACCCACTAGGTTCCATTTTACCCTATGGGACCCTCCGACGGGTCACCGTTAGTTATGTTCTTGCAACTGTTTTGTTTTCAATTCAGTGAAAAAAATAAATTATTCCTGAACTTAAGTTGGTCAGATTTTCCATGGCTCTCAATCTTCATAGTGCAAGAGCCCAATTTCTCCTTACTTCTTTTTCTAAAACTCTTGGCCAAAGTTGAGTATTTTGGTCCGTGAAATGCATGCGGGGAGAAGTCACTTTTCAACAAAGAGCCGCAGGGCTTTTCCTCACCCGGATTGAAAGCAATTACAAGAATTCACAATAGAACATCGGTGACGGTGGACTGAACTGCCGTCGGGAAGGGTCCCATGGGGTAAAATAGAACGTATTGGGGTCCCATCAAGCAAATTTCTCTCATTTGAATTGACTGGAAATCGAACAGAAGTTTCATACAGAAAGGAATATTCAGTCAACTCAACCTGGTCGTATTTCGTTCCTGGCATTCGTATTAAAAACGACTCTTCCTGAAAAAATAACGTAACATGCAAGCTTTTATCATAAGAAGAATGTAAACTTTTGATTCTGTCCGTTTATATTGTTGCCGTTTTATCTGATTTCAATAAACCGGTTTCGTGCTTTTAACTGATAATCAGCGTTTGCATATAGCAACAATTATGATTTTCAGTTCATAACTTTAGTACTCTTATCACTCAAACTTCACTCCTTACATTCCTCTGATTTAAACTCTCACGAGTCCTTACTAGGAGTGTTTTCTAGAATATTCATATTTATTAATTAAATTATGAAATCAAACGTCTGTAAATTTTTCTTTATATCATTGAATACTCTTTAAGAATATATTAAGAAGTGTGATATACATGTATAAGATGTGTAACTATTCTAAAATACATCATCTGCTTGACATACTATAGCCAATAGTCAAAACACTGGTTACACAAAACGATGATATGTTTTGTGATATAAGTTCTCGTTCCAGGTTGATTCACAACATCTAATACTCTAGGTTAGTAAGAGGTACGTTTCGAAAATGTAAGTATTGATATCACTACACATAGTGTACTGGATTTTCATACATGTTGTTGTGCAGATCAACATTCTTCTTAGTTCCAATATAAATCGGAACCAAATCGCAGTCTGTAACTCCTACTCTGAGAAAATATTTATTACGTTAGATTTCGGAGTTGTGGAAAAGACATATTGTTTAGCTGGCAATCATTTTAGCTGAAATCTATGACTGACATAAAGTTTCAGCCTGTGATGACTATCACAGGCTATTCAGGAGAGATAATCACCAGAACCATCTGCGTGTATATGAAGGTCAGGCCTTGTGAATTTCAAGTGAACTTCATGTCTGGAACTTTGTAGGAATTCAATTTTTTTCTAATGATGCTTCCGAATTATTACATGTTTCAGCCTCGACATTGGATATTCTCCACGCTTTCCAACATTTAGAGTCTTTATCTTTGGACTTTTCCGACTTCTCATTCGTGGGAAAATAGTTTCCAGAATAACGCCAAGAGTTTTATCTTTGCATCTCTTTCAGCAGAACCGAACCGAATGTGCAGTTTATATTTTCGGATGTGATTCTTACTAAAATCAAGCTCTCAAATTAAGAAATGAACTGCAGTCAGGAACACCTCAGACTCCAAGAAATTCGAGATTTGAGCTTGCCGATCGGAATACGTAATTTGTGCAGGGTTGTGGTCGTTTTGGGGCACCGCGTTCCAGAGAAGACAAAAAAGGCTCTGACTCGGTTCTAAGTCGACTTGGTGCGAAGCAGGTTTAAAGTAAAGTCGGGAGAGCGGAGAGTCGATTATTTGGGGCAGGAATATTAATGGAGGTGGAAAGGGGGGAAGGAGGCGGGGGCTGGCCATTGGCGGGACAGGCGGAGCGCAGGCAGGGGTCGACTTAGGGATCTCTCTCTCTCTCTCTCTCTCGCGCGCGCTCGGGCTGTGCTGTGCTCGACTTTATCTATGGCGTGCTTCCGCCAGTCGCGCTTTAGGGCATGGCACTCGTTCCTTGTGACAGGTGCGCCTTTCCCGGCCCCGTGGTTTAGGTTTACGGCGACGGAATCCCACGTCCGGCAGCCAGCGCTCTCAAAGCTCCCGAACGCTGCCATGTTTCCTTCCATCCGCGTTTTCGTCGTCAAACGCGCTCCCCTTCCCTTTCCTCTTTCCTCTGCTCTGCTCCTCTGCTGCTACTGCTCCCTCCTGCTGCTGCTGCTGCTACCTCCTCTTCTTCCTTCCTTCCTTCCTTCCTTCCTTCCGGGCTCTCCTGTCATCCCCGTCGCCATCCCCGTCGCCTCTCCCATCCCATCGCTGTTCCTCTTCTTCCTTCCTTCCTTCCTTCGTCCTTTCCTTCCTTCCATTCCTTCCTTCCTTCCTTCCTTCCATCTTTCCTTCTTCTTCACACAAACAACACACCCGCGGAATATTTGTAGGATCAGTAGCCAGCAGAGAGGAGAGGAGAGAGGAGAGAGCAGCAGAAGAAGCGGAAGAATCATATCTGCGCATCTGCATTTCCTGCGCACCTCCGCTTTCTCCATATTTTCCGATCTTTGCTTTCTTTCTTTCTCCTCTGCCTGCTGCTGCTCTGCCGTGCTCTCCTCTCTTCTCTTCTCTTCTCTCCTCTCCTTTCCTCTCCTCTCCTCTCTCCTCTGCTCTGCTTGGCGTGGCGTGGCGTGGCTTGGCTTTGCTTTCCCCTTCGCCTGGCCTTTCCTGGCCTGGCCTGGCCTCTGTGCTTTGCTGTGCTGGGGTTCAACTGATCACCTGCTGATCCGTGTTTCAGATCCGTCTCAAAACCTTCTGAAGCGGTTCTTTACGGCCCTCATTGTTGCTGTCCTCTGCGCCCGTCCCTCATTCTCTTTCTCTTTCTCTTCCTATCCTCTCCTCTCCTCTCCTCTCGTCTCCATCTTTCTCCCGGCCAGGTTCATTGACCTCAGCGATTTATTTTGTTGCTGGTGGGCGACGGGGAGATTGCCTCGGAGGCTTGAGAGGGGAGGTTGGCTGGGTAGAAAGTGGTGTAAATTTTTTCCCCTCCGCGCTGTGGAGTGAGAGTGGTAAATTTGCGGAAGCCGATTAGGAGGGATGTGGATGTAGGATGTTCTTTATTGCCTCAGAATTTTTCCAGTATTCTTTACTTCCCTTTTATTACAGGGAAAAGAAATCTGTGTTCGTATTCTTTCCTTCCCTCCTGAGACACATTCATCAGCGCGGGGTGTGTCGTTGAGTTAAGCGCTGAGGTTGAGGACCGGCTCCGCAACACGGCAATTTCTCCTTTTTCTCCCCCCGTTTCGATCTCTTCTCTGCGGCCTTCATCTGTGTTGTCAGACTGGAGTTGTCGCACAATCTCTCTCTTCAGCAGTGTGCTTTGAATTCTTTCCATTCCTCCTCCTGCTGCCGTAGGGTCTGTGGGGTGCTTGCGCCAATTTAGTATCGGCACCATTTATTTCTGAACTGCCGGGGCCAATCCGCCTTTTCGTGACATGTTCACTTGTACGCCTATTTACCTAAGCTACTCTTTTTGTGCGATCTAATTATCTCCCTCCAATTCTTTGGGAGCGGCGAACGCTAGGAAATAATGGCCTTGTCATCAGCAGATCTGCCCACTGTGTTTTCCCTGCTGCAAAATGCACTGAGCCAGGATCAAAGTATACAAAAGCCTGCTGAAGCAACTCTGGCCTCCTGCGAGAATCGACCTGGGTTTTGTTCATGTCTCCTGGTACGAGTCGTCTTTTGCTCCGTCCATGTAAATAATGTACGTTTCAGTCGCTGGATTCCCATCTGAATCATGTTTCTTCGATCTTCAGAGCAGCGCTGTCCAGATAAGATTTGTCCCGTTCGTGTCTGTCAGCTGTGTACTGGACAGGTCTGTCTTCCCAGTCTGTTGTGAGGAACGGAATTCTCTGCAGCTTTAAGCGTTGTTGTATTTCCCGGAAGTCGTAAGCAGAAACTGATGTATTTCAAAGAATGAACGCAGGAGATTATTGCCTCCCGGGACTTGGAGAAACAGAGTGATCCACGGTGGCTAGCTTCTGTGTACTTTAAAAACAGCATAAATCGATATTGGCGGATCCGACGAGATACACCGTAAGTGCTGCCTTATTTAGCTCCTACTTTGTCCCACATCTCACGATCATGTTACAAGTTCGTAATAGAATATAAGTTAAGTGAACTCACACCATCATGCTATACCAATTCAGAGCAATCAGTCCTCAAGGGTTGCTCAATGGCCATATACAATCCCTCCTAAAGTACTTCACCTATTCATCAGTTGCATATGGAGGGGTTCTTGAACGCTGAGACAGTTACTTCATCTAGTATTGACTTTCTCCTGCATTTGGATCTTGGACATTCTGCGCCCCTTATCACAATCGAAGATGCAATTTATATGCCATGTCGAAGATATGCCACGAGCCCAAGATTTTCAACTCCAGCTTTCTAGGGTCAGTGGTGAAACTCCGAGTCCAGGGCCATTTTATAGTTCTACCGTCAAAAAGCTAAAATATGACTTAAACTCCATTCAACGGTGAAAGTTACTAATTTTGCAGTGACAATCGACAGTCTACGAGAGCCCTTCCTGACTACATTGTCAACATTCGCTGCCAAGTACCTCCGTCTTACTACAGGAATAAGAGTCTTGAATTGTAACTTCTTGCTCATCTTATGTCAGTTTATGTATACGATGTGAAGATTCTCTACGTGAAGTTGATAAAGGCGCGCAGCAGCCGGAAAAGAAGAGAATGCGTACTGTTTGGAATTTGCTGTCAAAACTGGGAGATAGAAACTAGCTCTGTCTTCTAACAATGAGGGCGCGTGCTATCTTGTAACAGAGGAATTGGCGATGCAGAGAAACCCTATTTACGAAGCAAGCTGTTGGATCTCATTAGGGAGGAAGATAATAAGGTTAGTCTTAAACCCTGGTAACTCCCTCATTTTCTCTGAGTTTTGACCGGTTGTTGTGTTGTCATTCAAAACTTTATCACGCTTTCTTCTTCATGCTTTGCTTCATTCAATTGACTTCAGTCACGAGTCAGACACATTTTGATACTGAACTGCGAGTTTAAGATCGAAATCTTAAGTTTAGAGGTGCTTCTGATGGAACTTACGTATCTAACCTATGAGGAAGATACGAAGTTTCGTAATCCTCGTTTAGAGGCTGGAAATTCTTTGACTCCACGGCTTCTACAGAGACAATTGCAGTTTATTACATACCGGTCAATGTATACATAGTTCGCTGGGACAGACGATTTGATGCTCGTATTCGCTTGCAGGTTGCTGTTCAACTTGCCTTGTTGATAGCCAAAATCGCCCGGTTCGACTATCCTCGGGACTGGTAAGCTGCTCAACCTCATCCATCGTACTTGCTAGGATCGTGAGGTATTCTTTATTACTATTATTACGTCACGTGATTGTTTTTCGGTGATGTATTCAATACAAACTCTCCCTTGGCCCCGTTCGCACTTCCTTCCAAAGCAGTTCATTCCCGGCGCCCTAGCTAGGGCTGTGGAAATTCTGGTTTACTTCATTCTGAATAAAGGCAGTGAGTTGGCAAAAACTCTGAAGTATGTGGGACAAAATTTGAAGGCGAAACTCCGCTTAGAAATTCACTTCTACCCAAATCCTTCCGGCTGGCCGGGTAGGTTTTAGCTGCAATAAGTACTACCTGAAGCGGGTCATCGTAAATAGTGCTCTATTGATAGTTTGCGCGCATTATAAAATAGCTGTTCTCTTGTGTATGGTTTTTGTGTTCAACATGCCACTTCTCTTGAACTACCGTATATGAGGCTTGTATGTACTTGCACTTGGAGTCAACTTGGCAATAAGGTGCACGGGATGGTCCGCCCATTTAAAGAGCTCTTTTTCCGTTGTCAATTTTTGGAACTGAATGATCAGGCCCGAGCTATTCCCTATGCTTCTACAGAAGCTGCAGTCTCCAGATGTTTTATTGACACAGAGGGTGTATTTGGTACTGAACCAAACTTTGAAGGAGCTGTCTACTAAACGGTTAGCGGCGGATCAACGCAATTTTGCTGAGGTATTCTTTGGTTTCAATGTTTAAGGATTTAGAACTGCTAGGTTATTGGTGAATATTCCGTACTCGTCAAGTCCCATGGTTTGTTGTGGTGCTATTTAATTGTTAAGAGTATAACTCATGAGAACAAATACACATGAAAGTGAGGCCGCTGGTACTGGTTCCTCGGAGAATAATAACGATAACATGGATATTTTTCTTCAAAGAACATTTTACGTTCATTTTAGGTTTGTGTACCTTTTGTCTGGTCAGTGTACCTTTCGTCTTTAAACTATTGTGAGATACTTACGGTTGGTCTCCTTGGTTGATTGATAATGTAAGTGAGACATTCGTTTTGGTCAGTGCTGACTCTTGGCATCTAGAAGTGGTGTCGCTTTAAGTTACAGCTGTGTTTTGTCGAGATAGAGACAATTGCAATACATTGATTTTCTGCTTTCTTATCGTGGCAGATAACCTCGCAACTTTTCGATTACACCTGGCACCACTGGTTCGCGGATATGCAGCTTATTCTGCAGGGATTTTCATTAGTTCTAGCTAGTCCTGATAGTGGGTTACAGCCTGACCAGGGAAAGGCATTGTCTTTGACCTGCGAGCGCTGGCTTCTCTGCTCGAAAGTATTAAGACGAATGCTCCTCTTCGGGTTTCAAAGTGACGCAAAATCCGTTCAGGTAGGCGATGTTTCGGAAATAAGTGGCTTCCAGCTCTTTCTTGTGGATCGGAAGCGCTTTAGATGATTTCTGCAGCCTATGCTGACGAATTATATGGTAAAACTTGTCAGGAAGTTGCACCAGTGAAGCAAGTATCTCCAGCTTTTTTGCAAGCTGCCCAATCATTACTGCAGTATCGTAAGTGATGAAGATTTTGTTTTTTCTTCCTTGAGATAGAAGTTGAAATGGTGTTTGGAATTTAGACAGGAAGTTGAGTCAGTTCGCACTAAGCTGTTCGTTATCTGTGGATTTTGTGAAAGTAGTTCGAGTTTGTGACCTGATACCCTATCTCGCTAGTTTTTTCTGCGCATCTACTTATTCAGTTTCTGTTACCGTGTCGTCATGGACATGAATTTGCATACGCTGGTTGCCTGTCTCTTGTAACTGAGTGCACTTGAAGTGCGTACGTCCTGACACTGATTTTCATTGTTTACAATTTCGTCACTTCAGGTGCAGTACCTCCTATCCGAGAATTTGTTGAGAAGGCCTGCCTGAGGTTAATGAAGACTCTGGTGGAAGTTCAGAGCACTCATCCTTTCTCCTTCAGCAATAAGGCTGTTCTGCCTCCGGTCTTAGACTTCTGCTACGTACAAGTCACCGAACAAAGCGGCGGCAGCACTATGTTTGAGCACTTTCTGATTAAATGCATGATATTTATTCAGTCAGTTATACAGTGTGCTTCATATAGATCCCATAAAGCTGGGCGTGTTGTTGGAGCATCGACGCCTTCCCTGGAAGAAGCCAAGGGGAATCTTGCTGGACAGGCCGAAGAGATACTTCAATCTTTGTTGGATAAGCAGCGCCTGGTGGTACTATCTGAAATACTTGTTCGAAGGTCCGCTCTACAAATTCGAAATACTTTGTTCAGAAGATTTTATTTTCAATGCTTTGTTTTTTACATGTAATGAGAACAACGATCACGGCAGTATTTGTCATCCTGCGAGATTCATCGGTCGTACTTTCAAAGGTGTCAGCAGAGTAGCATGACGTCTTTACTTTGTGTAACTCCTCCTTTATCCTCAGGTCCGGAGTGCTGTCTACAGCTGTAACAAAATTGATGCGTTTGAATTTCAGGTACTTTGTTCTCACGGGGGATGACCTAGAGGAGTGGGCTCAGGAGCCTGAAGCATTTCATCACGAACAAGAGATGGTTCAGTGGAGAGAGAAGCTTCGACCATGTGCGGAATCTTTATATTTAGCTCTATTCGAAAGACATCGAGAGGTAGTGAACCTTAAGGAAAATTACCAAAGATGGGTTTGTAAATATTTGAAGTCGTAGGAGTTTCAACTTCAGACGGCTAGCCCTAACATAAGAAGATAAGTTGCGGAAATGATGATGGTCGTTCGAAATGGTTCTTGTAATCAGTCCATTTTGTTTGGCCACTTGAGACCAAAAAACGAATTCATTGTTCACCTATTCTAATTGCTGTCTTGAAATAGGAGGCAGAGATTTGCAGTGGCCGGTGCAACCTACCTGTCTCTGGAGAGTGGGAAGTGAGTTTGGATTTTCTAAAAATCGAATCTTCCACTTGAAATGTCGGGCCTCATTAGTGATTGTGCCTAAAATGCACAACTATCTAAAATTGGGTACAGAATCTAATATGTTTCGAATATGTTATTATGGAGAGCTGAGATAGAGGGCCGAGTTTTAGCCATATACATTGCTGATGTTCAAGGCAATACAATTCATACACTCTGAAGACCTGCTTTCATGGGCATATGGTAGTGCAAGCCACCATCTCCCCGTGGTCCAAGAATCTAAATATTATATTGGTTTTGAATGCTCGCAGATGTTGGCACCACTGGTCGTAGAAATGTTGAAGCAGGCATCCGATAATTGTCCGCCTGCAGCTCCGGATGCAGACATGCAAATAACGCCTGCCTTATTACTGAAGGAGGCTGTCTATAATGCTGTCGGTGTAGCAAATTACGATTTGTATGACTACATAGACTTCAAGTCTTGGTAAGAGTATGAGGCTAAATGAAGCATTGTACAAATAGTACTGACATTAGCCATTGTACCTCTAATCAGGGGCTTTTCTTACTAATGCTTACGCAAAAATTGATTCATGGATTCTTACTGTTAATTTGTTCTGTCAGGTATGACAGCTGCTTAGCTCAGGAGCTTCATAATCGACATCCAAACGGCCGTATCTTACGCCGGAGAGTGGCTTGGCTTGTGGGGCAATGGGTTAGCAAGGTAAGTTGCGTTGAATAAGGCCGAAGGCAATATTCTTAATCAGAGACGTGTCTTGTGTTTTTCTCGATACGGTGTTTTAGTCTCTGAAGAGTATCTCAGAGCTATCGCATGTCCTCAGTGCACTAGAAAGTTGTTTCTCAAGTGCCTGACCTTTTTCACCCTTTTTTTTATCAAATCCACATTCAAATCTCACTGACTTCTCTACTTGACTTCTGGCATCGTCTTCAGATCAAAGACGAGATGAGAAGACCAATTTACAGTGCACTGCTGGGACTTCTAGGCGATAATGATCTCGCCGTGAAGGTAAACTCAGGGATTTTTACCATGAATGTTTTGTTTCATCTCAACTGCTTTGGTCCCCGACCTGTACACTTTCTTTATCATTGCTGAAGATGAATGGTTTGCGAGAAGATACTGTTAACTCCTTAGCCCCCCTAAAGTTTGCTCATCAATCTACCTACCGTTTTTACTGCTTCTTTCTCTTCTTTACATTTGCGCCTCTTGTCTCGATTCATTGCTTGGACTTTCTTCATACGTTATCTCACTGTTGTTCACAGAGAGACCTCAAATACTTCTTTCCGATTAGGTGATCTCCACAGTCATTTTCTTTCCCATCAGGGATGTCAATGTCATTAGTTTATGATCTCGATTCAGACTAAAGTTCAATCTTTTGTCGAAAATATTTGTTACATTCTTGGGTATTGTAATTGTCTTATTCGAATTGATGAACTGGGTTGTGTCTTTACAATTCGTCAAAGATATGTGGAACTGGAATCCACCAGCATCGTCGAGGATCCGCTCCGTCTCTTGTCCAAGTATGAAACCGATCGGTGCCTGTTTTGCCCGATCATTGTAATCCGCTTACCTTGAAGCTTATGTTTTTCTAACATATTTGGCAACACCTCATTCTGGAGCACAGCTGGCAGCTTGTCGCTCTCTCCACAACTTGATCGATGATGTACATTTCTACGAGGAGGAGTTCGTGGAGTTCGTTCCTACCTGTTTGCAGTTTCTGTTTGAGTTTATGGGCACAGCTCAGGAGTTTGACTCCAAGGTAAACTGAAGTGCCTCTTCTCTATCGATTGGGAGAAGAGGAAAGAAAATCACCAATTTGAATTATCTGGATACTCTTCATCTGTTGATTGGATATTTTGCTGTAGTGATGATTGCATGCAGGCAATGTTTTTGGATACATGACTTACATACAAAGGCCTAAATCATTTACTGATTTTTTTGTGTTGCAGCTACAAATATTTAATCTAGTTTCTCTCATTATTGAAAGATTGGGCGAAAAAGTCCTACCCTGTGTAGAAAAAATCATGTCGTTTCTACCCCAGGTTCGTGAATTGGATGTTTTATCAATGCTATTTATTATCCAAGAATTTGGTTTCTCGATGTTGCCGTGGAGATTTGACTGACTTTCAATGACTTAGCCTACAGACATTGGTTTCGAAGTTCCACGTCTTATTCCCTTCCATTTACCGCTGTATAAGTGATGGAACAGGAGATATAACATTCGTTTACATATGACAGGTTTGGCAAGCTTCCGAAGGACAAAGCCTTCTGAGGATTCAGGTTATACTTGCATTACAACGGCTCTTGATGGCTCTAGGGCCGCAGTCTCCAATGTGCTACGAATTGCTGTTTCCGATTTTGCAATACAGCACCGACGTGAATCAACCAGACGAACTTAACATGCTGGAGGATGGAATGCAGGTTGGCTTTTACTTCACTCTTAGTTTGCATCTATTTAGTGACTAATTTAGAAGCAGGCGCATCTAATTTGGACAGGAAAAACCAGTGTCTCTCTCGGTCGTCTGAAAACGTTTGAATTTTTCGGATCAGGTCGCTTGACTGAACAGTTTTTATGCAGCGAGAATCGAGGAAAATTTATGTGTAAAACATCTAACGTTGGAGGACCTTGTTGTTTTCAAATTTCCTTTAATACAATCTGCATTCCAAAGCTCCCATCGTTGTGCTGATGGCAGTGTTGTGTTTCTGGCGCAGCTATGGCAAACGACGTTGAGGCATGCTCCCGTTATGGTGCCTCAGTTGCAAGGTTTATTTCCCCACTTGGTTGCGGTCATGGAGAAGAGTTTTGATCATCTTCAGGTACAAGATTGCTATGAAATTACTTCTACTTTCTTTTTCACTATTGGGCCTCGGAGAAGTCCTCTGTCGAAAAAGTTTTTTAGGCTAGGTCGTCGGTCCTCTTGACGAACTGGGTCCATTCTCTTAAAGGTGGCTATGAATATCATTGAGAGCTATGTTCTCCTCGGAGGCGCGGATTTTCTTCGTCACCACGCGGCTGGAGTAGTGAAGATCCTAGACAGCGTTGTTGGGAACGTCAATGAGAAGGGAATGATGTGCACTCTTCCTGTTGTTGACACCCTTATTCAGGTGTGTTTTTCCTTTGGTTCACCTCAAAATAGATTACTTTTGTCGCGTTGAGCCATGCGAATCCATCATAATTTTGAGTGTTTTGAGTCTCCCGCTGACTCCGATTTCTTTCTTTGCAGTGTTTTCCCGGAGATGCACCTGCAATTCTCGAAGCGGTCTTACAGGTACGTTTTGAATCATGTCCCGTGAATTCTAGGTAGTTTTTGGTACATTGTCTGTCGGTTCATTCCTTCACAGTAGGTCTTATGACCAGACTTCTTAAGAATGTATATTAGATGATTTATCGATGTTTTTCTTAAGATGCACTGACGAGTTGGTTTGAATGTGATGGTAATTATTAGTGACACTTGCCTTTCGGCGCTGAGTAAAGCTCCTTCTGTTTTTAATGTTTTTCACACGAGTCTCAATTATTTTCGATGCACCTGGTGATATTGTTTCCCTTGTTTCCCTTGCCAGAAATTGGTGGTTCTTGTGGTCAATGGGCGAAATGATTCTGACATAGTGAGAGCATCATCCGGAGCGATTTTGGCAAGAATTCTTGTGCAAAATAGCGGCTTCTTTGCTCAATTCACATCTCAACAATCTTTAGCAGTTGCCCTGCAGCAGTCGGGCGTGACTTCTACTGATCAAAGTGCTCTTTTCCTTTTTTTTGACGCTTGGCTTGATAAGGTAATCACCTTGCTTTATGTCCATCCTGTCGCTCCTAAATTTTAGAGTTCCATGCTTGTGGCTCCTTCATTCTCTTCCTTAAACGTCAAGATTTCCCCTTTTTTTCAAAACTCAATGATGTGTCCTGCATTATTAAGTGTCCTGCATTTGAGCGAAAGGGGAAGCTGATACATCCTTGCCGGTCGCTTCCATTCGAGTTTTGGTTGATATCTTTTCCTGTAGTTATTTCAGTCGGCTAATATGAAAGTTTACAAGGTTAGCTGGGCCTGTATACTGGTGATCCGTTTCACTTCTATTGACGTATGTACTCTGATTTATAATCTTTTCTGGATTCTAGAAAATGTGATTTCTGAACTTTTTGAATGTTATGCCTTTCAGATCGATTCACTTACAACTTTAGGCAAGAGGAAAGTTTGCGCATTGGCTCTTTGCGTGCTACTCACGCTCAGAGAACCACAAATTTTAGATAGACTCGAGCAGATCCTCAGGTACTAATACCTCCATCCTTATCTTAGAGGTCTGAGTTATTCAGGTTCATCATGAAACAGCAGGTCTGCATATCCCGTTCTAGTTTTGAGCAAAGCTAGGAACTTGGGTTCGGTTATATGTTTGCCATGCCTTTTGATTCGCACTGCTCCGAGGGCTAATGCCACTCTCTTCGGGTTGTTGACATGACTGCTTTTAAGCACTGGTGAAATGTGTATCGTACGTTCGCTTAAAGTAGGGTTTCGGGAAATGATAGACTGTGCCAAGTAGCTGGGGCTATGTACTGTTGTTGACTTGAATCTCTACGCAGTTAAACCGCTTCTTTCTGAGCCTACCGGGAATACTGCTTAAGCTTACTTTGCTTTCTTTTCATGCTGGTTTAGAGATGAGGTTGTTTTTCCTGCTCTCGGTTGAAGGTCTGATATCTCCTCCGTAGGTCACATGGAAATATTCCTGCTTACTCATCTTAGGCTCATACGCTCAACTTGAACTGACCTCTTTGCGGTGACTTTTCGGTAACATCCGTCTTCCTTGTCCTGACTGCAGTGTTTGTACAAGTGTACTTCACGAGACAGAAGAAGAGAAAAATGGAAATCCCTCTAAGTACGTACCTTCTGCGGCCCTCTCCCTCGGCTTTTTCTGATTTATGATCAAAAAAACCTGCATTACTTACATATTATATTTTCTTATCTTGTCCACGAGACTTCCTTGTCTTCTTTCTAAGTTTATATATCCTTGGCATAATATTACCTCAGCTATAGCTACTGGTCGTCGAACGCGCACTCGGGAGAGGAGGGTTCGGTTTCATCAGTTGAAAGCGAGGAATCCAGAAAAAGACAGGTTGGTGTAACGTACTTTATTCTTTCTTGCATAGAATTCACGTTCTAGCTTCAGTGGACCCGAAATCTTACTCTGGTAAATTACGAAGAACAGTAGTTTAGGTTTTAGGGAATGGTACAAGTATAAGGTTTGTGTGTTATTTTTTTCCTCTTGCATCAATGTCAACGAATATTTGATAATCACTCACATTCACTCAATGTTCTACCCTTTTCAGAGCATCTTCTGAGATCAATTAGTGTAGATCAAACCCATGGTTGAACTCGTATCGTCCTGCGCAGGTTCTTGGTGCTGATCCCATCAACAGTCTTTCCCTTGCTCCTCTTTTAAAGGAAAAGTTGCAAACATGTGCTGCTTTGCACGGAGAAGCTGCTTTTAATACCGCCATGTCACGTCTTCATCCCATGCTGCTCGGTCAGTTGCAGCAACTTTTGCAAACATGATCATTCATCTTCTACGAAGCCCCGCCCAGAGATTTCAATGATTATTGACCATCCATCGAAGTAATCCATGTGAGAATGGAGCTCCCATTCAGAAATTTCATTGTAATTCTGAAGTCAACTGAGATTTCATCCAATCTGGAAGTCAACACTAGGGAGGGCAAATCCACTCCCTTAGAATGGTTTACAATTCAGTAACTGGAAGTTTAGACAGAGCTCACCAAAAGACAAGCGTGCTGGCGGAGGGGCTCCAAGTACTGCACGGAAGACGGCTTTCAAAGTGACCATGTATCATCATCACCAGTAAGTTGGAGCTGGCTAAGGAGACGATTATTGCGCCAAACCATTTGTCTTCATAAATATTGCTGAAGAGGTTCATTTGTGTGCACCTCGCAGTTCCTGCAGGTGTGTTTAATCAAATTCAAACAGTTAGAATCATGCTGCTATGGTTCACAAAGTACTCAGGGGATTCTGCCTGATATTTGTGAATGTGCATTGCCCTGGTTTCATGATCGCAGGTTTTCCTTATTGTCTTCCTCAACGAACACCAATAAGTGTGGTCTGCAACAAGGTACCCTACAAGGCTTCCAGTCGGAGGTATTTCAACGGTAGTAATCCGATCATAGGTCACGGTGGACGTTGAGTTGGAATTGATTGTTGGTGAGTTGTTCTTGCGCCCGGAACTCAGGACTCCTTTCAGAGGACTCCTGACTGTCCCTTCCTGCAACCACTGATGTGTGGGAGGACGACTAGCACACAACCTTGGGCCAAGCTTTGGTTAGAGAGGGTCATTTATAGAAAATCAAGAAATTGTATCCTGGATTAATATACTTCAAGAAAGTAAACGATGTGAGATTTGAGTCTGCCCACGCAAAGCTAGGGATCGTCTACACAAGCTGTCATTGAGGAGATTTTGCATGGATTTCACTGAGCCTGATGTGGTAATGGCCTCTCGAGTCATGGTTTTTGCATGAGCTCACATTCCTAACAATACCCACGTTCTCGAAGGAGGAAATGGCACGTCTCCTCAGAAACTTCGTTGCTCATCTCCAGGAGACGGAAGTTATTGTTACAGTTCGCAAATGGACTGGATCTCTCAGTTGCAAATTTGGGGCCGTTACACATAGAGCAAAGTACGGCCGTGTTCACTGACATGTCTATCTTACCTGAATCTACGTTGACACAGTTTTCCGACAAAAGTATCTTGCCATCAAAAGGTGCAGTAATGCCGTGCATTTCAGCTCCCAACACAACTGCTGTGTGAGGAATATAGGAATCTGTCCCCTTCAAGATGATTTCTGTTTGTGGAGTGCCGATAAGAAATTTGCGTTCGTTTTATTATACACATGTTTTTTTATGCAAAGACACCCTTCTTCAAAACAAATATCGCAGTTGTGGGATTTTCTCTTCCTTTGCATTAGGCTCGCGTTTCAGGAAGCGCGAGTTATATCACGAAGACTCATTCAGGCTTGGCAGAAAACAAGTTTGAGTACATCTCTTACCGATGCTGTAGTGCTTGTAAATCTCCTCTACTCTTCAGTGTTCCCCCTTTTTCTCCATATGCCAGTGGCTTGTGACTGTCCTATCGTCATGTATACCCGTGGAGAACCCCAAAGTACAGAACTGAAAACGCAGTTTGGCAGTTTCTACTACCATCGCCTGAGCAAAGATTAAGAGGGGCCAATGCTTGATGAGTGCACACAACCAGCGGCTGGCACACGTGTGTTAAGACGTAGGGCTGCAAGAGAAGCTTATCCATTTGGATCGGGGAAGTCCCCAGAGGGCACAGCGCGACGGCCGGAAGAAAGTTGTTCAGAGCACGAGACAGGAATCAACACATGCACACGACGACGTCCTTGGACCGCAGTTTTGAATCACATGCACATCACGTTGGATCAGAGCACGGGCTCTCGTGGTAGCAGCTAAACTACCTCAACTCCTGGACGCGCCTGGGAACTGCGATCTGTTGGCACTTTCGATCTTCCTCAGGAAATGAAGCCCATGAAATGAACTTGTACCTGCAGAGTCTCGTGGTGATATGTCAAACCCTTGGGCTGGGCGGCCAATGCGTTGGCAGCCGGAGGATTTGACAAATCACGACTAGCCTCTCTCTGAGTTCCCGCTAATATGCCACAGGACGCGACGCCGAGGTGCCACAACACAGCCATGGCTTTGGAGCGACCTGGTACGGATCATTATGACGCCCAATGCGAGGAGAGCGATGAGAGGTCGGTCCGTTGTGTTGCATGGGTCTGGCGAGGACGGAGGGACGAGGCCGCCACCACCACAGCACAGCTAGACCGGAGGTGTGTTATCATCTGCATGGAAAATCTGCATTTCGTCATGCTCGCTCTCCCTCCACCTCGGAGCTGTCCAGTGTGCCTCCATGTCGCTCTTGAGGCAGAGAGGGAGAGGGAGAAGAGAAGAAGAGGTTCGAGTGATACGACTCTCTACTGAGTCCAGGACGAGCCACAGTGACGGAAAGGCCACATCCAGCACATGTCAAGCTGCCGTGCTGCTGCCATCTGGATCTCTGCTGTTGGGTGATATGGGTTCCTTCTCCTCGCTCTGCCTTTGACCTGACGCCCTGCGCACCCAACTTCCACCTTCACACATCGAATGCTCAAGTCAAACACACAATGCACAGAGAATGCCAGCCAGCCAGCAAACATCCAGCGGCCTGCCTGCCTGCCTGCCAGCCAGCCAGCTATGGCATGGAGATTCTCAGATGTAAGCGTCCTTCCTCTTTCCAATGCAGGAATAAATCTTCCCTCCCATTCTGAATTATGGATCTAAAGCCCGTACATGGCATACTCCTCCTCCTGTTAAGTCCAGAAGGCTTGTGTGGACCCGGGCGAATATGTACTACTCACTTCCCAAATCGTTACTATCCTACGTCAAGCATCATACGGTCTACTGGATCTAAAACCCATTCTTTCCTAGCTCGTGGGAGGGGAGGCCTTTTTCTAAGGCTTTCGATATGTATAGGTCTCCGTGGTAGTTGTTTATCATGTTTTCGTCTCATGATTAAGCCCCATCTTCGAATCATGGTCACAAGTTCTGTTGCTGCTGCTGCCAGAACTTGAATTGCAGTCTTGCATAAGGGCGAAGAACTTTGACAGGGAATAAACGCTATTTGGTTTTGTGGGTGGATTCATTTGACTGTTTCTATGTCATTCGGACAGATACTGAAAGGGGACTGAAAGTTTCCATAAGCACCGCTGGATCCCGTAATCGGGTTCGATCTGGTCGAAGAGGCTCTCTTGACTTGGACCTTACTAAGCTGCGATTTCTCCGAGTGGGATCTTGTCAGGCATATTTCGAAAAAAATATCCCACATCTTGTTATCTAGTACAAACCATCTTGCGGTCCATACTGCTCCCCCTGTGTTCAGCTCGCCACCAGTCATTCTCGATTTTCTCCTCCCTGATGTTGTACCTCGTACCCTGAGGCCCGCCTCACTTCGCTTCCCCTCCCCTCTTCATCCCTTTCCTCCCTGACGTCTGGTTGGTAGAGTCACTTCGTTTCACCATTAGCCCAGCCTCTGACGCACAGATATCAATTTTCCTCTCGGCTTAAGAGGGGGAACAACAGTAGGGACCATCTGCTTGGCCACAAAAATCTCTTCACTTTTAGGATATTATTATGTTTGTGGCTCGTCGTGATGTGAAGTACCCTCGTAGATCGAAATGGCTTGAAAGTGAAGAACATCCTTCGATGGTATGGTTGATGCATACCAGACATGTCAGTGCCAACGCTTTGACAAGTGGGAGAATTCAGTGACTTTATGATAAAACGGATGGATGGATAGAGAAAAGTGGATGATATTGGGAGCACGATAAAGTTCTTCTACTATGTGTTTAGTAGGCATGTCAATTCCGATGCTCGTAAAAGTCGGAGAATTCAGGGAGTTTGTGAATTAATGAATGAATGGATGGATGGATGGATAGAGAAAAGTGGACGATATGGGAAGCATGATAAAGTTTTTCTGGTGATGAGTGTAGATTCTGCAGAAGCTGTGAGCAGTGAGAAAGATGGAGATGTGTTGTGAAGCGAGGAGCAGCATCATCGTCGTCGTCGTCATCATCACAGATTGCTCGATATAGCTAGACCTGTCCCTTGCTCTCTTTATAGATCGATGACATGGAAGTCCAAGGGGAATATAAGTACCCAGCTCCTTCGAGGGAGGCTTTATGCCGCTCTTTCGTTTGGGTCGGGACCCAGGAGGAGGAGGAGGCATTGCCAGTCCAAGCTGGGCTCCATTCACAAGCTGCCTGAATCATGATCATAATCATACGGCACCACGTTTTGCATCGGTACGAGGTTCTTGCTCTCGCTTGAATTATGGGCCACCGGGAGCACTTTCGTCGAAGGCTTGGACACTCAGTCAAAGTCCTCGAGGGGCAAATATATGCTGCACAAAGCCCTCCAAGGGGGTGCTTTGTGCTTCGAGTTGGGACCCATGGGGAGGCATTTCATTCCAAGCTGGGCTCCAATCACCAGCGCTGGAATCATGGCCATACGGCACCACGTTTGGGATCTGTACGAGCTTCTCGTTCTCGTTTTGAATTATGGGCGAGCGGGAGCACTTTCCTCGAAGGCCTGATTATGAGGCCCCACCCCCTCACTGAATCAGAGAGTCTCCCAACTCACAACACGTGGTCGTCACCAGTTGAAGTAACTTGTGGGCTACTGGGAGCTGGAGGTTCATGTCCTCCAGTGATTGTAGTTGCAGAGAAACTTTTGGTCATGGTTTGTTCGTTTCATTTTGTTTTGTTTCTTGTGTGTGATCCTTGTTCATCCGATCACACGTTGAAAGTCCCGTTTATCATTGCAGCAAGTGAAGAATATATTCAAAGCACATTTAGGACAATATAATGAAGAGGTTTTTTAGTCTTATATCAATCATAACATGTACATGTGTGTGCTCATTCTATAAAAAATAAAAATTGAAGTGTCCCTGCTATCAGTAGGGGATCGGGCAGGCAAATGAATCTATCTAACCAAAGAAGCAATTTTTTCAGTGCAACCTCTACGCTTTCGCTAAATATATGTATACGTACATTCGAACATATGTATAAAGTTGTGCCTGCATTCAGATCTGGAGATTGCAGGTTCTGATTGTTGAAGAAGTTTCTATTCGACATGATTTATGGAAAATTCACCCTCGGTAAAAATAAACCTCCAAAACATGATACCGACTTTGTTATCCTCGAGAAGTCTATAAGAGAACAACATGGTCAAGGGATTGCATGATTCAGCTAGAGATTCTTTAAGGATTCTCAAAGTAAAAATACACCTTCATTATGGATTCATGATTTTGAGGGTAAATTTTCTGATTCTGCTGAATCTAAGCATTCATGATTTTCTGCACTGGATAATCTAGCTACATTGTTCATACTATTTCAGGTATTTAGATGTTGATTTTGTGAATGTGGTAGAAGAGGAAGAGGATAAAACTCAACGAAAGGAGAAGGAACCCGTCCGAGAGTTGAGTTGGCAAATCCACTCATCATTGAGTCCTTGCATATACCTCTCGATTCATCTATGCCCTCGACATGGACAAATTGAGTGCGTCCAGTGCGTCTAGAAATTAGTATGACAAAGAGCGAACAAGTGGAACCGATGCCATGATCCGACAGCTCGAGAGAGAGGTAGGTGTGACTTGAACGACTTTTCAAAAACGCAACACTTCATCCATCGGCGTCTACTTCTAGAATCATGACACCAGGAGGCAAATGGAGAGCTGCAGAAGAAAACGACCTACCCCAATCTTCAAAGAAAAATCCATGACATGATTCGACGACATATCGAATTCTCCATTTGCTTCTGCACCGTACGACGTAGAGCAGCTGCAAGTCACGAAAGTTCCTGCAACACTCGTCTCGTCCTCGAGTGTTTGAAACCCTCTCCCTCTCGTTGCTTCTTCTGGTTCTGCTGCAATAGAGAAGATTCTGGTGTTGTAAATTGTAAATTGGAGCACGGTCAGCAGCCACGCACTTCTGAGTCCGTGCGGTGGATGGTTTGCATGCCCACTCGACTGCACAGCGTTGGAGGTGGAGATGGAGGACGACGAGGAGGCCATCCTGACGTCAAATCTTTCATCAACTCTCTCATGTCTGCACTAAGTGATGCCCAAGTGGCTGCATTTGACTATTAATCTGCACGGCTTCGAATTCAATTCCGTGTCATTATCATCCGAATCGTAATTATCGGTCGATCTTTTTGCAGATTCGCAAGATGAAGGGAGAGAGAGGCCTGATCGTGTTTTCCCCTTTTAGTGTTATCCATGCCCAATAGACTCAAGATACAATTCTCTACTACTTCAACCTTCTAATATGGAATATGATATAGGATTATATTAGGTAGCGGTTACATTCTCCTTCACGCTCCGAAAGCTATATAAATTGTGTAAGTGAATTTTATGATTGGTCAAAGTATTTCATTTCTAAATGAGATCTTCTTTACAACATTGAACGTTGGTAAAAAAAATAAACTATCAAATGATTTGATCTTGTATATTTCCACTTTAACAATAAAGGTTGTACATTATGATACTCACCGGCATAACATACCCAGCAAGTGCTATGGCCGTGAAATCAAAGCGAACATTGTTGGAGGGTGAAGATTGATTAGACCAAGGTGAGTGATACCTAGATGCTCTCTTAAATTAATGTTTTTTTCAAGTGCTTTACTAGAAGTGGAGGAGATAACCACCGGATGTCAAAACTCCATCAAGCCATATGTGGAATGAACTAGACAGGTAGATATTATCTCGACTATGTCATATGTCATCATATTTCATCTTATAGTTTAGAATGTTTTCATTTTTATATATCTCTTAGAACATTTCTTTATTTATTTTATCTAGTTTTAGTTTCCAATTAAGAAATCTGGGACTTTAAATGTTAATGCAAATATTTATATAAAAAAATTATATGTTTCATTTTAAAGAGCTAAATTTTTAATTTTTGACTGGAAAAATCATGAGAACCAGAAAACTGGAGTAAGCAGAAAATGGAGACATTGTAGTGGTTCACTCCATGGAACACACCGGTGTGATGTTCAAGGCAGCGAACTAGGTCTTGCCATCTTTAGTGATCAGCATTGCACAATTGACAACACTCCTGACAAATTGACCGGAAATTTTTTTTTACATGGGATGAATAATTTTTAATCATAAGATTTGTATAATTATATGTACAAATTGTAATTTATGATTTAAATTGAAGGTAACATGTTCATATAATTCTTAATCTAACTATTTGTATTGACATAATTTTAATAAATATTAATTTGTATGATTGGTATTTTATTCCATTATTTTTTTATTTTTTTATAAAGAAGAATTTATTCGAACCCAGATCTGTCGACCATCTAATGAAAGAATTACGTTTGCAATATAGAGAAATATTTAGCCCGTTTATATTAATCTGATTTTTATAATTTTAAAGTCATCTTACAACAAGATAGATGAAATTTTTACTTATTCTTCAAATATTATTATAGAAATACCAGTATGTTTTAATAATTGGTTTTTGTTTCTTAATTCAACTTTTTCATTATTATTATGATATTTCTTGTCATTAATTTTGAATGACATATCAAAAATCTAAAAATTATTCATTTATACCATGAGTTTTATTTATTAATTTTAAAAAACTTTAAAATTAATTTTTAAATTTATTAACTTAAATTATTAATTTAAATCCTTTATCGTAATATACAAAAAATGATCCAAAAAACAAATAAAATTTGAAAAAGTTAGGAAAAAAATTTATTAACAAAATTTGATCAATATCAAGTTTACACTAATGTTGATGACTAAATCCTACTAATTTTATGTTGTTTCCTTTTCTCTTGTGTTGTTATTATATGTGAATTATTACTGCTTTTTCCTGTTATAAAAATATTTTTTCACACATCACTCAATCTTGAGAGTTTTATAATCACTATTATACTTGCATAATTTGGGATTTCAGTTTTTATTTTTATATAGATTGACAAATGATAACACCCCTTTACAATAATGAGTCTTATTTTAGTATACAGAAGTTTTTGCGGTTTGCCAATTCTTGTATTATATATCATGATCAATTCATATTTTATAGATTACTTTTTTCGAAATAAATATATATTTTAATGAATAAATTTTTTTCTCAATCATGTCAATAATATAAAAAGTTTAAGAAATATCTTTGTTGACGAAATTTTATAAAAAATCTGAAAAGTGAAAAATTTAGAACCTTATATTACAAATTTGCATTTACGGGTTGTACATTCACCATCATCAATATTTTATCATTGAAAGTTTTTTTCACAAAATTTATGAGGTCTAGATTTATAGTAATATCAAAAAACAAAAACATAACCGCCACGCACATGATACATTTTCAGTTGTTATTTCTATCAGGATTCAGATATGAGAGCATCAATTTTGTCTGCATATATTTTTAACTTGAAAATTAAACTCCAACTATGAGTTCAAATAAAGTGTGTTGTTATCAGAGTGTAAGATCCATGATCAATAATCAAATTTGAAAGATTTACTTTTTTCTCATTTTTCTAAAAAAATGATAACTTCAATTGACAATTTGAAAGTGATTGTTTATTGTTGAAAAAATCCGTCAGGAATAATCAGTGGATTCTGCTACTTCTTCATGAAAATAATTCCATACTTAGAAAATCTACATAATTTTCTAAATAAGAATTTATTATATAGATATGTTAAAATAACTCAATAGGCTGATGATTCAATACAAGAATCAATTTTCATATTTGCATATAATGTGTTTTTAATTTTTTAATTCTAAAATATTCGCTGAAGTTAAACGTGTGTGTTGAAAGCAAGATTTCACTAAAGTTTCTCCATAGCATTCCAATTCAGAGCTCAGTGTATAATGTTGGGCTGAGTGAATTCTGTGTGATCGCCTACTGAAGGTGGGATATGTGGACTAGACTCTACAAGATCACAGATTGTATTTTTTTCAATGTTTGAACCACTAGACTGGATGGTGGTTCACAATTCCTTTTCATGATGTGTGATTAATGATATCTTCTACAAAAAGATGACTCTTTGTACAGATTTTCCCAACTAAAACAGCTAGCATGCTCATCGAAGCATACTATTTTTACCCTTATAATACTCTAATCTTGTAGAAGTAAAGTCGTAGTGTTGAAGATGGCTGTGCGATTATTAAATCTCATCCTTCCTGCTATCTTCATATATATACTGTATAACTTAGAAGCAAATGTCACTATATGTAGAAAGTTTTTGCTGAACAACTTCGATGAAGATCTCTCCCATGATCTTCACACTTAATTTAAGATCATGGAATCTTAAAAGCAAGCATTACATTAACTTAATATATGATTTCGCAACTATAATGACATAATTTTGTACCATGAGTCACTTCAATTCCATTTGAAATAATCATTGCATCCATTGAATGGCTTATTTTAACTAAAGTGTATAGAACAAACCAGGAGATTCTTCATATGCAATATTTCATAATTTTGACACATGTATTTGTGTTCATCAATCTCTGAATGAAATAAGTGAAAGAACACAAAGTTAATGTCGCTCCTTCTATTTAATGTGACAAAAGCTTAACTCTTGTAGCGTTTGTTTTTCCTACATACAACCATTGACAAGGAAATTAGAAAAATTGGTCAATAATTGTTTACAAAATAAGCTTAAGTTTAATGTTTGATACGTACATTTTCTGTTTTTGGAGACTATAATAATCTATAATTTCTAAGATATAAAACTAATGAGTTGATCAAATTAAAACTTTCTTGCAACCAAAATTGTTTTTATTTAATTTATAAATGCAGAGTTATAGTTTTCTTCATTTGAGGATTAATTTATCAATTTTAGATTCATTTCTTTTGGTTCTTACTGGGCAATCTATCATTGAACTCTTTTAAATATGAAATCTTATCATATCTATTTTTATTCTTGTCAGTTTTTAACTTAAAAAAATGTAAGGATTTATGAGCTAAATTTGATTTATGAAAAACTATGTACAAGTCAATCTACTAGGCAGGAAAAAAAAAATTAGTTAATTTGGTCACCACCCATAACGCTGCCTGAAGTGCTAAGTAAAAGATTACTGCATGGTCCCCTGTAAAAGTGAACCCTTGAAAGGTGTAAGACTATTGTAGTAATTTAAAGTTGTTAACTCACGTCAAATTATTTTTTTCAGAAACTTCGAATGGTGCCTTTTTATTTATACAGATTTGTGAAAAACAATTCCCTCTTCAATCATAGATTTGACGGCCCAGAAAAAGATTCTCGGCCTATACTTACTCTTTGAACCCAAATAAAACTTTCATTCAAACATAGAATTTTCGGATTATCTTAAAATCTGACACGTTTTAATATTCATCTCGAGCAGATAAAGTCCTTGGTGAGAGCGATTCTATGATAGATAAAAACACGAGATTCAAATAGTTAGCATGAGCAGAGGAATATTGAACTGGACCGTTGAAGCTTGAAAATTTCATAAATTCTTTCAAATGCAAGTTGAGGTTAAAGAAAATTAAAATCTGTTTGATTTTCAAACTTTTTTGTTAATATTTCTCCACAGAATCTGGCAGTAGTTGACAAAGAGAACGACATGTCTTAAAAAATCTTCGAGAATCAGCGTTAATCTAAATGATATATTTTAGAAATAAATGAGATCAGTCGAAGCGCCATTTTGTCTATGGATTGCATCAAAATATGTGAATCTGGTAAGACAGAAGACTGCTCAGTTCACTTTTTTTTTCACATTATTTTTTTCTAAAGCATGGAACTCGACGCGCAAACATTTTGTCCCGATCTCTTGACAAATTTCACCTCGACTAAATATCCGAAGCCTAAAATATGAGGGAAGGAATATGGAGGGCTGACCCAAGGGTCAGCCCTTATCAAAGTCTCTCCGCCCTTAAATCCGATGGCTCGACGTACGGTCTGATGGGTATGCGTCTGCTTCCGAGTGGACGTTACCGCCTAATTAATCAGAATCATGGAGCCACATCGCAATTAACGCCTTAATCTCGGACTTCGCCCGAAGGTTAGTCAGTCCGTCGGTCGCCTTGCACTTCTTGCCGATCGGCGGTACCGTAACCGTCACCATGAGTTAGTTCGTAGCTGGCCGTCATCTGCGCAGTCGTCGTAGAGTCGCAAGGTTATTGAATTTGACATGAAATGAAATAAAGATTAAATTAAATTAAATTAAATTAAATTAAATGACATTACATGAACCGACCTCGCTGCTGCCTCACGAGTCGCGAGGCTTGAGGGGCGGGCGGGGGGGTGTGTCACCCGTTTGTCGAAAGTCAAAGTTAGTGGTGGGGGTGATGGTGGTCCTCTACTCGGCTTTCTCTTGCGTCGTTCTTTCGTTCCCCTCCAATGATCGATGGCGTCTATGAGGAAATTTGGAAATGTGGAAATTTGGGGTCGGTGAATGCACAAAAGTCCATGGCCGTCGTCATCGTCATCGTTATCGTCTTCATCTTCATCTTCACCTTTCTCTTTCGGCGCCATCGATGTCTCTGTGGGCATGGCGAGAAACTCTCCTGGGCGAATCCTAGTTCGAATGAGGATCTGATCCAATGCGAATCGTATGAATGTGGGACGAGGAGGAGTACGTAAGCGACCGAGCTCCTGGGCTCCTCGCAAGAAGAAGCTGATAGAGGATCGAGATTTTGTCGTGGTGAGGAAAATGCATGCCCATGTTGACTTCTCTTCCTCGATGCTCAGGTGAAATGATTTCATACCTGGACGACAGACAGACATCATCCTTATCCGGTCCCCCTGGTTCCTCCAGAAAATGAAAGCGGTGCATTCTTCCCATTTCTCATGCATCTCAAGGAGTCACACTTTCTCCGACATGTCGCTCCATGTGCAAGAATGTACGAAACTTCTTCACGTTCATGAGCCACGTCCGTGAATCCAGTCCTTCAATCAAGAACACCTTATCAACAGAGCATACAGAATCATCAGCATCTTATCTCCGAACTTGATCACGCCATTTCAGTGGTGATGGATGAACACTTGCCCCCACCCCAAATGCGAACATGTACAACAGTCATGGACTCAGCACTTAACCATCAATTCCGTGCTCTCATGGAGTCGCCAATCCAATTTGCTCCCTCATCGTAATACGGTACGTAGTGACTGATGATCTTTCCAGTCTGTCCATTGTACTTTCTACGTTCCAAACTTATCCAGACACACAGAAATTCGGTGAGTGCGTTTTATCACACGCTTCGGATTAGGGTGAACTTTCTCTTTGATGACCATAATCTTTGCGCCTCGTCTCGTCTCGTCTCGTCTCGTCGGCTGTTCATTACCTTATCTGGCAAAATGATGTTCCCCATCTTACTCCATCTGCTGATTAGGGTTTCCCTATGCCAGGGCCATTCCCACGAAAGTATGGACCTTTGCACTAAAGAGCAATCTTGGCGCATTGGTTGGGGACAAGAGGAGAGCCAGCAGATTTCAGCAGATCTGCACAGGTCATTCATTCATTCATTCATTCATTTATTCATTCGCTCGTGAATCACAATTTCGGTTCGCAATTTCTCGTGGTGTTGCTCCTTATCCACAAAGCGGAAGGAAAGAAAGAAGTTGTGAATCTGTCACAAAATCGTGTTTCGCTGAACGTCTTTCTCGTGACGTGAAGTGAAGCACCTGAGGTGGAATAAAAATCCTCTGATTGCTAGCTGGATTAGATCCTTCATCGCATCACCGTGCATCTCATCTGATCCCAACACATAATTTCTGTCTGCCTGCCTGTCTGCCTGTCTGCCTGCCTGCCTGCCTGCCCATCGGTCTATGTATGACAGGACGGCTTGCTTTGTTCACGGAAAGGTGGGGTCGATTCGATCGATCGATGATGATGAGCATATGAAAGGGGAGGGGGAGGGCGAGGGCGAACACTCTCATGATGTTGTCGTCGTCTTGGTCCCCGGGGCAGACTCCAAAAAAGTGTGGCGCATCAAACATACAGATTTTGCAGGCCCCCTTCCCTTTTCTCAGAGCCTTTGCTCCTTTTGGCCAAATTATTGCCATGTACACAACTTCTTCAACAGCCTTGTTTCTAAAATCGAAGGGCCCGAGCATATAACAAACAAACAAGCAAGCATGGCATTCGTCAACAGCCTGCTTTTGTTTGCTAGTTGTTTTTACTGCCTCTCCAAATTACCTCCTGCCTTTCTGCCTGCCTCCGTGATTCTGGCATGGGACGCTGATTCCTCCACAAATTGGCCTCTTCCGCCGTGGAAAGGAACAAACGTGCCATCATGGCGCTGCTAGATTCCACCTCCTCCATCTCTCTCTCTCTCTCACAGTCAAGAAGGAAGGAGAAAAACCTCGGCCTGCAAAACATGGCGCATTTTGATTATATTATTTTTTAATAATATGGCACGGGAATAATGACGGCTAATATTTCCTCGTGTCAGGTCGGTCAGTGTCGATGCATTTGAGCTTCGAGCTCAGAAAATATTCCGTTTTCTTGTCTCATGTTCGAGGGCATCGAGTGGTCAGTTGAGCGGACGGAATATCTCGTTTTTGCCGAACGGACGGAGCCAAGAGAGAGAGAGAGAGAGAGAGAGAGACGTGGGCCAAGTGATGAGCTGCCGCAGTAAGTCTCCTACCACGTAAGGTCAGCGGGAGATCCAAAGGGCGTGGGTAACGAACCGAGCGGGATGGAGAAGGGATGGCCTCTTCTCGGTCGGACCGGACGAAGACCGGAGCGCGGACGGGATCGGGGGCGAGAGACCGGGCGGGCCGTCGACGGAGTCGCGGGTCGTACCGGACTTTGCTTTAAGCGAGATGCGAGCGTTCGTCTTTACCGGTCGTCCTTGAACGGGTGACTCCGGGGACGGGTCGGTCTGGAAATCAGGGCTCGGTGGTTAGCGGAACCTCTGGTCGTCGTCTCTGTTGCGGTGGACCGGAGGCGAGGCAAGGCCGAATTACGTTAACGGGCTTTCGGCGAAGGAGCCTCCGACGTAGTTCCCTCGTCAACTAACCAATAACTACCCTTCGTACAGTACGAGTGAAGACAAGGCGGGCATCCGTACTCACGGAATCGTCGTCGGCTGGAAGTTTGAGGTCCGGTCTTCGGGACGGAGCTCCTTCGGGGCCCCCGAGGTATAGCCACCATATGAGAGATAACCTAACTGTGGTTAGTAATACGGAATTAACGAAACCGTTAGGTTAGACAGGAGTGGGTATTCTGGGAACGTGTAGCAGTTGACGTAGCGAATATTAGTGATCAGCTACTCCGGACCTTCGAGCCCGCTCGTAGTTCGTCGTGGTGAGCAGTATGGTGCCTCATCTGAATTAAATAAATACAATATTCATTTATTTCTTATATCAATCAAGCAGGTGAGGCTCATAGTTTTGTGGAATGAGGGGGCGTAAATATTCAGGGGACCAAACTCCACTTTTCTCTTCGATATCCAGAGTTTAAGATATTTCTTTCTCTCGGAGTATATGAAATTCAATTCAGCTATTAGGCATATCACATGCAAACTCTTCATTCGGAGACTTTTAACTTATTTTTTTAATTTTTGACTTGTTTTGAAAACACGTCTTGAAGATTTTTACATGATATAAAACAATAATATGTTTTAAGGTCAGTATATCTTTATGCTTAGGATTAAAAGATCTAAATGATAACAAATAATATGTTTCCTCTGAAATTGATGTGACTATTTCTATGACATTTTTGTAACTTTTAAGAGATAAAATCAAGATGTAATTGCTAAATTTCTTCAGAATTTCAAATACTTTGATATATATATATGCACAATAATCACCAAAGGATTAGTATTGTATTGATTTTGAGATGTTATGAATATTATGATTTGTAGTTTTTTCTTTGAAATCGTTTAAAATAAATCCAATATTCAGATTTTAGATATGTATAGTCCTTGTGATTATTAAAAAAAAAAGATAATTTTTTTTAATTTTTTACACCAAAGAGGTTATTGAATTTTTTTAAATTTAATAATTCTTGTAAAAATTATACCAATCACCTATATTATCTCGAAATATTTATTATATATATAATTCAATTTGAAAATGTTTTATAAAACTGTATGACATAAGTTTTGTGTATGTTATGTATTCAGCTACATTTTGGAAATATTTCAAATATCTCAAAAGAAAAGTTAATTTAAAATTGCAAAGATACCTGTTATTGCATTGTAAATTATATCAAAATTGAAAAAACTCAATTGTGGAGAAAAGAGAATGCGTAAAATGCCAACAGTATGTTATTTGACTTTGGAGTACTTGTTATGAATTACTTGATTCAAATGGAAGTAAAACATTTCAGTTTGATGTAAAACTCGTATTTGCATAACTACTCATGTGTTTTAAAATTTGAATCATGTTTACATTTCTTGCAATTTTGTGCTTGCAAATATCAAACAAAATCATCAGTAGCCTGGTTATATGAAGTGTAGACACATATTTAATCAAGATTGAAAATTTTCAGAGGATTTTTTTCTAGAAAAACATGAATTGAAATTATTATGAGTAACTTCTGATATCTACAACTTGCAGACACTATAGTAACCCGGAAAGCCTTGCGGTTCAGAAACTTTGATGCTTAGATTATTGCCTTTCGTGTGGAATAAAAAATATGTCACATCAAAGATATTTCCAGGAAGAAGACCGATCATCGAAGATTACTGAAAAGGAGAGGAAGTCACATGGAGCAAAAAACTCAACGAGGTACGTACGTACTGACAAACGAATGTCACCAAACACAAGACTAAAGTCAAAAGCCTTGCAACTGGGACGAAAGAAACTTGAAGGTCGAAGCTTCTGATCTGAAGAGAAGAGAAGAGAAGAGAAGAGAAGAGAAGAGACTACCGACCCCAACCGCACCAATTCAGGACGCGAGTCTTCGACCCATTCTCACAGAAACTTGGACTCATGGACCCATGGACGAAGGAGGAGGACGAGGACCAGCCATGAATGAGCAAGCAACTGGGTCGAGACGTTGAAGGTTCAGAGTGGGTGGCTTCGTTGGACCTTGATGGATGCAGCCCCACTTCAAATCCTTGAGAGGATTAATAGAAGTGGGGCTAGATTTGGTACGCAGCCTAATCCGCTCTCATGGATAAAGATGTAATTCGGCGTCGCATGGTGAGTGGTGTTCCGATGGGACCATGTGAAGAAAACGGCAGCGGACGAGGCGCATTGGGATATCGTTGCACCTGCTCCGGCTTCAGAACGTTCATCCGATCCTTGCGACATTCGGGCCCTCGTCCGTTGCGAGCCCATGGTCGCATTTAGTTACAAATCCGGTACGACCATTTGGCGGCGTTTCCGTCCGCTTTTGCGGTGAGGCGACGGATCCACGTGGCCGAGCCGCCCCGCAGTTGGCCGCTGAGTGGACCTCCCGAAGGTCATGCCAGCGCCGCATCTCTCGCCGTCTGCTCGTCCCCTCCCGTGCCCCTGCCTTCCCTTGGAGCCCCCACTCCCCGCTCCCGACCGACCCATTCCTCTGGCCTCTTTTAGACTCGGAATCCCGCTCTCGCCGTTCTTACCACCCCCTTTCGCGTAATCGGGAGCGAAGGATCGGGTGCCTAACTCGGGACTAATATTCTATTTTGCGCGTCGGTCAGGTCACCAGCTCCTCCTCCCCCTCGTGCCCTGCCCTGCCCTGCCCGCCCACTCCCGCAAGTTGGAGGCGAACTTTCCTTCCTCGGACTCGGGGGCCGATCGTCCGCCTTCCACTTGCCTCGAAAGCTTCCCCTCCCCATTTACGTGGTTACACGCAAAGTGAAACTCAACCCGGTACCGCAATGCGCTCATGGTCGTGGTAGTTCCGATGCCGCCTACCGTCGAAAAACACCGAGAGGGTCAGATAGAGCAGAGCAATCGCAAGCGGAGGAAGATACGGATACGGTTTAACATAATTATACTAAACACATACTATACGAGACTAGACAAGATGGGATGGGATTAGATTAGAACAGATGAGATGGGATAAAATTAGATGATGTTAGATGAGGAGATTAGTGCTACTCGGAGATCATGGAGTGTCAAATATATAATTATACTATGCACATACTATACGAGAGGGGATGGGATTAGATGAGATGAGGTGGGATTAAATGAGATTAGATGAGATGAGATGAGGAGATTAGTGCGACTGGGAGATCATGGAGGGAGTGATTTCGCGTCGACTTGATGGAGGAGGCGACTTCGCGTTCGTCGTCGTACATGGGAAGGCCGAAGGCTGGGAGCTCGAGTTAAACGTGTGCGGTTCGCTTAACATACGGCTGGACGGCCGGCTTTGCAGCAAAAGCGGGGCGGGGCCAGGGGAAGAATCCGGCACATCGCCGTACGGCGGTACTGGAATCGAGACTCGGACAGCTCTAGATTTTCAAAAGGCGAGAGGACATTGAAGGCGGGCGCAACGGAAATCATCTGCCGTGGCTTTGCGTCCGTAGGCGCCATTAATGGGCAATCTAATGCAATAAGTTCCATGACTTACCGGATAAGTTTCGTATTAATAGGATTGGATTAACGAGGACGACTTCGCCGGTGGATGGACGGACGGTGGCGTGGTCGACCACCCCGGCTGCTGCTGCTAAACTCGGGTTGCGCTCGCTGGGTTCCCGCCACGGCGCCTCTAGTTCGCAGGTCGGTCCAAGTCTCCGGCGCCGTACCCATCTCCGAGTCCGCGAGGCGGCCGACGGAACCGCCCTCCTCTGGGTGACGTGCACGGACCTTCCTGGCCGTCAAATGGCTGCCCTGTCCACGTCCTCCGCTCGCTTTTGACCATCATGCTCCCCATGATCATGCCCCCATGCCCCCATGCCCCCATGCCCACGCCCGCTCCTCCATCCGTTCCTCGTTCCCCCGCCCGGCGCTCCACGGGTCTTAAGTCGAAAGCCGAAAGCCCCCCTCTTTTCACCTCCCCGGCCTGCCGAGCCTACGTGGCGGGCACCGGCGTCCGGTACGGCTCTCATCGGAGCTCATCGGAGCTGAGCAGGTTCGAGGAGCGCTCTCCGTGTCTCGCCAGGACGACACCGTGACATGACTCCCCCCCCCCCCCCCCCGCCCCCCCTCCCACCCCCAGGCATGGAATCGTAGAATCTGCATGCCCCGATTGATTCGAGAGCAGTACAAGCTTCCGAAACAGTATTCCCTTAAAGGATGCGTGGTGCTGCTGTGAATCGGTTAGCCGAGTGGAGCAAACTCGACCGGCTTCGTGATTAAGATTAAGATTCAGATTGTGGGCATTTCTGGATGCCAGTCAGAGCTCTCGATCGAGGGGCGAAATTGCGGGCTCCTCAACAGGTCTCAGACCCGAGAAGTGTGATTAGCCTAAATTACGGTTATCGAATCACTCATGAGCTGCCTGCCGGTACACAGCTCTGACCGTTTGATTTCTTTGTCAAGGAAACATTATGAGATCGATGTCCCCGGCCCCGTACAAACATGTCAACTTGTACATTGCGTTGATTTCCGGTCAAGATTTGGTAATGATGACGTGGGACGGTCTGGATTGTTCGATGGTCCTGTATATAACAATACTACTACTACTACTACTACTACTACCCATCGTACGTACGTACCCGTCTACATCTACACACGAGGATGTGCGCTCGAGAGATCAGAGGTTTGTTCGATCGGATTAGGCTCCAGCGGATCGGATTCCTTTTGTTCACACGTTGTCGTCGATCTCTCTCTCCAGCCAGAGAGAGCTGAGCAGAGCAGAGCAGAGCAGAGCAGCCATTGTTTTCAATGCCATGGATTTCAACGAGTTTGCAAATGAGTTTTCAAAGGCCAGGATGGATAAAAGTCGAAAATGGAGGACTGTCTGCGTTGCCCACTGCCCTGCCCGATTTGGACATTTGGGAGGTCATCTATCTGAGCTGCCATGCCATCTAGTCTGAGAGATAGATACACCGTACTCCATGTTGCCATCTGCGTCTCTTCTCTCTCTCTGATCACTCCGCTGACATAGGCTCACAAAGAAATCCGCACCAGACAATGGGCAGCACCGGATTCTCTCTGCTCTCCCTCCGGAGGATTGCGATCGTGATCGTGAAAGGGATGGAGACTCGATCTTCCTCCGTAGGCTCGGGTACACAGTAGTCAAAGGCGCAGGAATCAGCAGCAGCAGCTCCCGTCCTTTCGTGAGCAAGTAGAGTACATACCTGGATTCTCAGCAGCATGACCATCGATTCCTAATTGAGTGAGTGAGTGAGTTGAGGTGATGGCAACAGTTTTATGACGGAAGATCTGAAACAGCAAATTCGATGGCAGAGAAAATTCGATGTCAAACATGAAACTCTGATACGACTGAGACATGCGATGGAAAAAGGGCCCACATTCGCATGCTCTTTGACCCGACGGACGGTTGGACGGACGGACGTACCGTGGTTGCGGTGACTTCTTGTTTAGCGGTAGGTTAGTGTTACGTAACACGTAACTAACAGCGGTCGCTGTTGCGAGGGAAAGACGGCAGATGGATGGATGATTCAGGTGAATGATATTTCCCGGCAGTTACTTCTCTTGTCCGGAGGTAACACACGGAAATCAAACCCTCATGTTCCTCATGTCGCATATCGTTATCCGCGAAGCATAATTGAACAAAACGGGGTTACCACCTTCCCATCCATCCGTCCATTCATCCATCCACCCGTCCGTCCATTTCGAGCCGCGCAAACAGACAGATCAGTAAAGAAGTCCATGCGTCAGCCAGACGCATGTGCGAGATCCATCGAAAGAGTCGGAGGCGCGAAAACCGACCGATGGAGCGAGGGACGGACGGATCGATGGACAGGTACTTCTCGTACAGCATTAGATGATCACACGAGATTAGACGAGATTAGCTGAGATAAGATGAGATTAGATTAGATCCAGCAGCGGCGTGCGGGCCGTGCTGGAATTTCGCGTTCCTTTCGGGCAGGCGGGAGCACGGAAGGGAAAAGCGCCCGAGCGAAAATACCGACTTGGCATGCCAGCTGGCCGGCTGGCCCGCTGGCATGGCATGGCATGCTCGCATCGCTTTCGTTTGCGCGTCGAAGGTGTCCAAAGCGGAGCGGAATAATCCCAACGTTTTCCGGGTGTGCTAAATCTGCACGACGCGGCGCATGTCGGCAAGTCATGTCAACGATTCAACAGGTACGTGCGAAATCAGGCCACGGCGGCTTTCCGGTCGTAAGAGGGTGCTCCCCAAATACGGATCTCGTACAGTATTCACCGTGGCTACGATGGCCGGGGGGAAACCTTCGCAACCCTCTCCCTACCTTCCGGGGCCGGGCAGGCCCGCCGGCGGAAGCGAGAGAGAGCAGAGGATCTTCCTGAAGAGTGCCGGTTGAGTAGAGAGTCCGGTCGGGGCCGGGGCTCGGGCTTACGTGGTCATGGGCACATGCCGGAGACCGAGAGGGTACGATCGAGGCTCGAGGATGCGCCGCGGAACCGAACGGTGCTGCGAACCGCGATCGCGGGGGTCGGGAGCCCGAAACGAGCGTGGAAAGAACGCACAGGACAGCGCGGTTGCCGCCGAGCGACGGGGCTCCTTGTTCTCCGTTGCCCCAGCATTCATCCATCCATCCACGGGGTCCGCTCCGCTCCCGTGGCCGCGGAGAAGCTAATAGGGGGTGAGGCTGGGGGTGGGGTACCGAAATTAGTCGAAATGCGGCCGAATCATAGCCCAAAGCTTCATGTGGGGGATTTATCATATTAGCGGGGGGCCGGGGGCCGGGGGCGGGGGAGGGGCGGAGCGGGGGGGTCAGTTTCCCAAAGGAGCGATCGGTTCAGTAAAATGCGAGCGCGCGGCATAATAATCTTTCTGAATCCGGAAAGCAGCAGGGGGCAAGCAGGCAGGAGCAGACAAATGGGGGCTATGGCCACGGGCGAATATTCAAATGAGACGGAGAAGGACGAGGAAGACGAAGAGGAGGAGAAGACGGGCGGTAGCGGCAGCCGAAGGGAATGTGGTGCCGCTGCGGTCGGAGCAGAAGGGACGGGACGGAGGCAAGGGAAGCGGAGGAGGCTCTTGAGGCCCGGGCGGCGAGGGCTTGGGCTTGGGCTTGGAGCAGGGGCAGGGGCAGGGGCAGGACTACCCTCGTCGTAAGAAAAAGGAAGCAAGGAAGAAAAAAGGCGACGATAGCAGAGGCGTGGGGGTGATGGCGATGGCGGGGCGGCGATCACATTATAGGCCTAGCTAGATAGACAAATAGATAGGATCCCCCACCTGCAAACGAGGCGTCGAGGGAAGCGCAGGCAAAGAGATCTGCGGGCGCGTTGGGGGGCTTAATTTTTTTTTTATATTGGTGCTTGGTGCTTGCGCTTTCAGTTGACAGAGTGAGGGGGGGGGGGGGGGGGGGGAGATAAATTAGGGAGGCATGGTAAGAGGTTCGTGATCCCGTGCTGGTGCCGCTTGATGAAGCAAGAGGAGAAAAGTGCGAGACGGGGACAGGTGGTAGATCGAGAAATAGTTTAAGGATATTGCAGCAATCCGAGGCAAGGGGTAAGGGGTAAGGGGCAAGGGGGTAGGGGGTGGGGGAAGGGGCTATTAGTAGCGCGGGGATGCTCTGCGGTGCCTTGCGGGACACCAGTCGACATCGTTGTGTGTCTCCCTCGCTCCTCCGTCCGCTTCCGGCCAGAGCAGGAGGAGGTAGAAAGAAAGAATAGCCAAGCGCGAGAGTAGAGACAGAGCGCGAGAGCGCGCGAGAGAGAGAGCTTCGTGTCGTCTTGTACTCTCGCAGTTTCTGTCTCGTCTGTCTGTCTGTCTGTCTGTCTGTCTGTCCGCCCGCGACTGACTGTCTCAGGCGTAGCTGTCGTCGCTTGCGTATGTAGTTTGACTCTCTCGCTCCATCTCTCTCTCTCTCTGTCTCTCTCCCCCTCCCTCGCTCTCTATCCTCTCTCGCCCTCTGCCTGCGAGCGGAGCGGAGCGGAGCGGAGAGTCAGAGGCCGTCTGCTATTTCTGCAGCACTTCCATCTCTCTCTCGTCGTCTCTTCAAGATCGACCCTTCTTCTTCGTCGTCTTGTTCTTCTCTCCCAAATACTAAAGAATTGCCCCTCTCGCTGATTGCTTCAGTGCTTGATTGCTTGCTTTGCTTGCTTGATTGCTTGCGAGCCAGCGAGCCAGCGAGAGAGCGAATTGCTCCGGCCTCGGAAAGATCTGTGAGCCCTTTCACTCTCTCACTCTTTCACTCTTGCACTCACTCTCTGCGTGGTAGAGATTTCACATCGCACCCCACTTCGTCGACAGCCCAGGCTGGTATCCGATAGATAGCTATTGGTGTGCGTGCTGCTTGCGACCTCCCGCCATCTCCTCCTCGCACTGCCCCTTTTACGTTCTTTACCCTTCCTCCTCTCCTCCTCCACCCGACATTTCTTCGTCTTGTCGTTTCGTCCCTTGGCTGCTCTCTTCTTATACCCTGGGCACCTTCTCCCTACACCTACTTAGGGACGACCTCATTCCCCTGCGGTGTCGTCTTCGCCTCCTCCTCTGTCCTCCTCTCCATCTCCATCTCCCTCATCTCCCCTCCCCTCTCCCCTCTCCTCCCCTGATCACTCAAATAGCCACTCCCCTGGTCCCTCGGCACTCTCCTCAGCTTTGAATTTCGAACTCTCGTCTTCTGAATCGATCGGGGCCTGCGCCTACATTCCGATTTCAGTACATGGTCCGTTCTCTCGCGCGGAGAGATTGATCCGAAGTTTGGAGTTGTTGCCCCCCTCCTCTTCCTCCTCTAGCAGCCAAGAACTTTGCGCCGAGGGATGTGCTGAGAGCAACCGAGGCGCATTCCATCCGCGGAGTAATCTGCGTCGGGTTAGTCTTCAACTGGATTTTGAGGGCTAACCCACGAGTGCCAATTTGTAAGTACTTCATGCGAGCCCGTCGTTGTACTGCCGATTCCGGGACTATGACACAATGATGATGATGAGGTTGCCAGAATTCTGCAGAATGTGATTTCAGGTCAAGCAAGAGTGCGCGCTGTGTTTGGAATCTAACAATCGATCACATGTTGTGGCAAGACGCGTGCAATGTGATGATGATTATTATGATTATGATGATTGATTGAACGAAGCAAGATAAGAAACCTGCGTACTAATCTGCCGTGCCTTCTTCTTCTTCTCTGGGATATTGGGGAATGAAGGTTCCGAGCGTTCGGTTTTTCTGATGGTGTTACGCTCCCCAATGCTTCCGACTCCGCATATCCCCTGAATGCTTTACGTTTGCAGAGATGTCGCAGAATCTGCCGTGAGTGTGGATCCCCCATACTTACCAGTGCAATATTAATTACTTGGATTCAATCCGAAGATTGATCTCTCTCTCTGCCTGCATTCATTCATTCATTCATTCGAGTGATTCATAACGAACAGCAGGATCTCACATTTTTATCTTCTTCTAGAATCCTCTTGGATCCGCGAAATATGCATCTAGTAATTCGGAGAGTCGGAATTGGTCGTCGCCACCTCGTCAATCGTGTCGAATTCACGTGCGTCATGGAGAGAAATGAGTTTCAAGATTATCAAGACTCGCGAATTTTGGCCCTGTCGATGTGTTCGAAGCCGCGGTCCTCATTCTCATGCTCACGGCAATTTGTGGTGGTGGTGTTTCAGGAAAGGCATGGGGAAGACTGTGGCTGGGCTGGCCGTGGCCGTAGCTGCGGTGGCCTGCGCGGGGGCAGTGGTCGTTGTTAGTCGACGCATCAGAGAAAGGGGACAGCGGGCGAAATGTCTGGCCATTCTAGAGGAATTCAGAACTGCGTGCGCGACCCCCGTCAGCCGGTTGAGGCAAATAGTCGACGCGTTGGTTGTGGAGATGCACGCAGGCCTGGCGTCCGACGGAGGAAGTAGGTTGAAGATGCTGCCGAGTTTTGTCGACGTTTTGCCGAATGGGTGAGTTGGTTCGCATTCTCCGCTGCCTTCTTCGTTCGTCTCACAGTTTCCCTCGAGTCCTCCCGCCCCGCCACCAACCTCGTTTCGTTCCTCCTCCTCAATCAAGACCACGTGCCAGTGTCTTTTCTTCTACGGCTGCCGAGCTTACGCTAGCTGATCAAGAATCAATTCTTCCGTACTCCGCCATGCTCTCCATCTGGGCTCTCGTAGATCGATTTCGTGGCAAAGAAAGGCTCGGAATCCACCAAGTCATGCCCATATCGAGTTGCCCACTCATTTGTCGCTCTGCTCTGTGCGAGACCGGAAAATTCGAGACATGAATGGGAAGTTGTGGCTTGACCTTGTGGCGAGTCGATGTTTGACGAGAAAATTGCACACCTCTGAGCGGTGGACATGGTCACGCCGGATGCTGGCATTAGCAGTGCAGTGATCCAGGGGAGCTGCCAGGGTAGATGGGAGAGATTTTTCTCGTTTCTGCATTGCTGGAATTTGTGGCATTCGATGGATGTTGCGCGTCAGCGAGTCGATTTGGGAATTTGTGCATGGATGTGGGTATTAATCGGCTTGGGCTCTGCTTTGCGGTTGCAGCGATGAGAAAGGGTTATATTATGCTTTGGACCTGGGAGGAACCAATTTTCGAGTTTTGCGTGTACAGCTTGGCGGCAAAGAAGGGCGAGTCATCAAGCAGGAGTATGAAGAAGTATCCATACCCCACAGACTCATGGCAGCGTCGGGCCAGGTGGGCAATCTCGTCTCCATAATGCTCATCTCAGCGTGCCAACTGTATGGCGCCACGCGTTGTACGATATGATTCTCATGATGATTATCGCACTATCCAGCTGATCTTGGCGTACACCAGAGATTCCTCCAGTTCCGCAGACTTTCGCTGTCCCTAGCCTGTGTAAGCTGACTCGTGTACTTCTCCGCAATTCCCTGTGCCGCGCAGGAGCTGTTCGAGTACATCGCGAAAGAGCTTGCAAGTTTTGTCAATCGGGAAGGCGAGGGATTCCGACCGCATGGTAACCAGAAAAGAGAGCTGGGCTTCACTTTCTCCTTCCCTGTGAATCAGACAGCAATCAATTCCGGCACTCTCGTGCAATGGACCAAGGGTTTCACCTGCGATGGCGTGGTGCGTTGTGTTCTCTTCCTTGTACTAATTATTACGCTAAGTGGTGATTTATTTGTACGATGTGGTGTACCTGCCTCTGGGTTCTTTAGCTTACAGCGGAGAATATGCGTAGACAGGCGATTGTGGCGATTGTGGCGGTCTCTGGGAGCACGGGTCGTTACCAGACATTCGGGCATCGAGAATCATGTGATTTGCATTTGTTTAATTGTTCATGAGAGTGCATCATTGTGAAAGTGGGGGAGAATCATGTGGCTGTCACTCAGAAGGAACAGTGTCTTGCACAATGCCTAGCTCACGTGTTTCGGATTCTGTCCTGTAGCCTGGCAAGAACGTCGTACAGTTTTTGGAAGAAGCAATGGCGAAAGTTGGATTGCAGATGAAAGTGACAGCTCTGGTACGAATTCACGTCACTCTGTTGCGGTCAACTTCTTGTTTCGATTCCCTCTCTCAGTAGACGAGCTGCGTCTGATCGCGGTCCTGCAGCCTATTATACGCTCTACTCTCTTGCGCTCTTCTTATCAATGTATTCGCCTCTCATGGCCAGGGCAACTAGACAGAAGAATGTGTTCTACATCTTTTGCATCCGGGCCCGGATTTCTTTTTGTTCACTTACATCCGACATGTGGTCACTCGCTGTCACCTTCACACCAGGTCAACGACACAGTGGGTACTCTGGCCGGAGGGCGCTACTGGAACGAAGATGTCATGGTCGCTATCATATTGGGTACAGGCACTAACGCCTGCTATGTGGAGCGCGCTGATGCCATCAACAAATGGAACGGGCTTCTGCCCCGATCCAACTCCATGGTAAAGCCTGTTTTTTGTGCTTGAAGGCCACTTCGTACCAAATTTTTCCGGTGTCTAGTTTTGAGCGGTCGACACATACATAAGTCAGGGGTTTCTGGGATCCTATGATTCGAGGTAATTTCATGTCAATGGGCATGAAATGATTTGCTGAGGCTTATCGCATCACTCGTGGGACTCCTGGAAGTTTTCCGAAGTCAGTAAGAGGATGCTTTCGGTGCTCTCTCCTCTCTTCGACAATGGAGAGATACATGAGACGTACGCCATTTGAGCACGGTCGGTTCTTCAGACACAGAATGAAGCTTAAACCTCACATCACCCCATTTTACGAAAAGGTGATTTCTGAAATGTAGTTATTCTTATCCTCTCCACCACATTAGATACTAAGCCAATTCATTTCAGGATACTCATCTTTCTCGATGAGTGTCTACAATCCCCTCTTGGTACATCTTGGTACAAGGATATTGTCTTTGGCAATTGCGAACGTCACGATACGTGTCGTCTGCTGTCAGCGATCATTCGTTAGGGCTTCCTTGCTCTTGACAGTCACGTGGGAATTGCGTAGCGGAAGCATGATTTGGTCGAAAGACTGACACTTTTGGCCCTTTCGGCAGGTAATCAATACAGAATGGGGAAATTTTTGGTCTTCTCATCTTCCCAAGACGTACGCCGATGAGGGTCTGGACGCAGACAGTGTGAATCCAGGAGAGCAGGTGAAAATCAGCTACCTGAATGTTTCTGTGTTAAGTTTCAAACTTGCGATGTCGGTTTTAGACCTCAATTGAAGCTTAATTAGATTGCTTGTCATCATGTTTCTTCAGCAGGGTCGTCATTCAACCTGAGAAATAAAGTGTGCTAGAATTGTGTACACTGCGTGATCACTGCTTGGTGCTTAATATGTTGCGGGTTGTGTTGTAGGGCTTTGAAAAGCTCATATCAGGAATGTACATGGGTGATATCGTAAGGAGAGTTTTGTTGAAAATGGCCCAAGAAGCCGACATATTTGGGAAGCCTATTGCTCCTAAACTGATGCAACCTTACACGTTGAGGTGAGTTGGATCAGATTAGAGCTTCTTTTGTACGTTGTGTTGTGAGTGTTGATAGCCTTTCTTTTTGAGCGTAGAAGCGCACTGTCTCTTGCCATTAATTTTGGAACGACTTGCCGCGCTGCAGTACTCCCCACATGTCAAAGATGCACGGGGACGAAACTCACGACCTCAGGAATGTGGCTAAAGTTCTTAAAGATGCATTCAATGTAAGTATTTGTTTCTATCATTTTTGGTTCGTGGATTGAGTCGTCCTCTGTTTTTTTGTGTGACGAGTACCGTCATTTTGATCGTGGAAAACGAGTCGTGTCTTTATGGGTGATCTCTGACATGGAAATTGGCTGTTGCGATTTCAGATCTCAGGTACATCGTTAACTGTACGTAAGATTGTATACATGGTGTGTGAAGTCGTATGCGAGCGTGGAGGGCGATTGGCAGCTGCGGGAGTTGTGGGTATCCTGAAAAAGATAGGAAGAGATGGTACTGGGGCAGGGGCTGGTGGTCAGCCATTGAGTAGATCTTCGTCAGCAAAGAATGTGAGCAGTAGGCCTAGGAGAACCGTGGTTGCCATGGATGGAGGTCTTTACGAGCACTACGGCAAGTTCAGAGAATATTTGCAGCAAGCGACAACCGAGCTTCTTGGGGAGGAAGTCGCCAAGAATGTGCTCATTGAACTTTCGAAGGATGGGTCCGGGATCGGTGCTGCTCTACTTGCCGCCTCCCACTCTCCCTCGCAGAAAAATTTATGAGTGGGCCCTCTCTCGCGTCGAATACCCGTTTGCCACAGGCCTGAGTAAAGGTCTTCCTCAAGCTTACTCCTCCTTGGGAACAAATTTATAGTAGTCGGCAGTGGGACATGCAGCATAATTGGCGAATGTCCCTTCCCCCCTCCCTTCTGGAGTACAGCAGCTTGCAAAAGATGTTGTTCGATATTCTCCGTGAGAATTGTATATAATCTTTCGCCTATCGACTTCGAGGAAAGTCAAGTGGCAGTTGGATCGTTCTCTTACACTCATTGGATAGACGGTATCTTCACCAATTTGAAGGTACTCGCAATATTGACCAACGTTCACAAATCAGTGGAAGCAATTTTTCGGGCTGAAGTGAAATGTTCGGCTACTAAAGCTCCAGATGTGTGAGAAGAACAATAGAAACTTATGTCAACATAGTTTACAAGCTGAGGTAAACATCTAGCTAGAGCTTGTACACAGGCAGGTTGTTGATCAGTAGGGCAGGCAGAGTCATTCTAAACCTCACATATTCTTGCACAAGCATCGACATCTATTCCGTCTAATTTATTACGCCGTTTAGATCTCTAACTTCACCATTCTGTTCTTTTCTTCGCTTTGAGGACACTCTCCAAGGTTCCTTCAGGTGATCAGTCATCAATCAAATGTATTTTCGTTCTTGTAAGCAAAGCAAGCACAGGTTGGAGACGACCCATTCCTTTACAAATGTCATGTGATTGCCTCTCCTGCCTGCCTGCTTTAGGCGGTGGGTGGGTCACCTTTTCAATCTTGCAGCAACTGAATGCTCTACAACGTTGTCTGTGGAATCAGTATAGATCTGGACTCTGCGATGTATAATTGCCTTTGCTCCGCCACCGCCCAGGCCGAAAGGCTCAAGTCGGTGGATTTGTTCTAAAACCAAGTGTTGATGAAAGTAACGAGAATCGTTGAGATGCATATTATACTTCTATTTCTCGTTGAAAGTTTCGGGAGCAGAGCGTTTTGGAAAACATTGTAACGCCAGCGTCGGTGCCTAGTTGTCCAGCAGCAGAGTCCTTTTCTTGTAGATTGGCCGAAACGTCAACTGTATTTACAGGAAGAGACCCTACTACGCACCAGCTCCACGATCACGGTATATGTGCATCGGATGATTGCGAGCGAGAAAAGGACAATTATTTGTACATTTGCTGACCGCCCTATTCCGGATCCATTTTTTCTGACTGATCCTGCCTGGAGGCGGTAATCATCCGCAACGGGAGTTGTCTGTCGTCTGTATATGGGTGAAGCTTTTTCTTCCTCAAGATTAAAAAGTATCTGTACCTCACTTGTCTCCTCCTGGCACTCCACACTGAAGTAACTTTTACCTTCTCATCGAGCTTTCTGCCTTCCAAAACTCCACGTTTCGAAACCCAAGCTCATGCACTCACTCACTCGCTGAGTGAGTGAGTGAGTTAGTGAGTCGCTTGCACACCATACTTGTTCGCTGTCTCCTTCTCCCAGCTGTGACTGCATGTGTAGTACGACGTCAAAGCAAGCCATCGAAGTGAAGGACAGACAGACAGACAGAAAGACGCGGTGAACAAGAGCCTGCACCGAAAAGCACAAATCTTCAACTAAACGTGGTGAGCCCTCCTCTCGTTCCCTGACAGTCTGAAAAGCTCACAATTCTCTCAGTAGTGATGCAGGCCCTGTCAACTATAACTACTCACTGTGGTACTTGCAGCTGGTCTTTGTTTTAGCTGATTCCCCACAAGCTCATTCCCCTTCTTTACCCCCTCCCCGGTGGGGGTAAACATATGGCCCGGGGGTAAACTTGTTTTTGGCCCCCGGGGGTAAAGGTTGAGTTTGTGTCCCTTGTGGGGTGACCGCGCTAGCCCCTGTCCCCCGTTCCCTGTCCCCTCTGAGATCGGGGACTGGATGGCCCGCGATTTATGAAGCCCCTCGGGGCCTGTACGGGAACGGGACGGGACGAGAAGGTACAGACGAGGCATGGGCCTAGCACTCACTCGCAATCAACTCGATGCTGAATCGAATCGTCTCGCTGCCAACTCACGCCCCCCCCCCCTCCCCCCTCCCCAGTCCCTGCTGGACTGCATGTCGACACCACGCGGTCGACGACGACGAGCGGAATCCGAATCGGGCGAGTGTCATGCATTGCAATGGATTGCATTACAATCATCATGCCGTCCCGTTTGCTTTACCTTCAGGCATCCCTCGCCAGCGAATCTCCTCCCTCGTCTGCTGCAGCAGCAGCAGCACAAAATCATGGTCGACTCGCTGCGAGAGGCTCTGGAGGCCGGCCGGATCATTCATTCATTCATTTGCGTTCGTTCTTTGTTCTGCTGCTGCTGCTGCTGGTGCGTGTCCATGATTGAGTCGCTTTTGGTGCGGCAGCCATGGCTGCCTCGCTCTGACGGTCCCGCTGCCAGCGCGAATCGCGCTCTCTTGCCGAGATCTGCCCCTTGCTTGCATCAGTTTATCCGCAAGGTATGGATATATTCATTTAGGATAAATCAAATAACGATGAAATAAATAAATCAAGAAATAACTGTAAACCTATAACAGAAAAACATGGTTGTACGGAAAGTATGAATTTACTCATTTTGGATAATTCGATATTCCTTGGATAAGTAGATTATTATAAGTCATAAAGGAAAAAGCATGCTATCCGAGAAATATGAATACGCTCAGTTTGTATAATGTAGATATAAATTGGAGATATAAATAATTATAAGATATGATGGAAAAACTATGCTATCAGAGAAATATGGGTACACTCAGTTGGTATAATATAGATATAAATTGGAGAAATAGATCACTATAAATTTGAAAGATAGATTCGCTGTCCGAAGTATAGATACACTCATTTTTGAAATTTCGGTATGAATGGGATAGTATATAATTTTGACTTTTTGAAGAATAAGTACGTTATCCGAGAAATATAGTTATACTCATATTGGATAAATTCATATAAATAAATTTATAAAGTTATAAAACAAAATGAGATGAATACGCTTTGATGGTAGATTTCTTAGATTCATTTCTTAGATTCAAATACACACACACGATGGAGGTCAGTTGTAACGAGTAGCATCCACACATCATCAAACTGATTCTTTGATCCACAGTAAGCAAATGTAAGGGAATCCTTCTTTATGTAGGAATTCCTCGCTAGTTTCTTGCAGGCGGAGTAGATACACTCATTAAAGCATGCAGTGTAATTATCTTAATTGCTTAATAGCTTGTGGATAGAGCAGATGCAACATTTAAGTACATGTTCGATCGTAGTGTAATTAATGAATCTTAAGTCCACATATTAAGTTTGAATAGGAGTGAAATAGGTTGGTAGAGAGTGTTTCTTTGATGCAGCAATAGTTAACCCATATAATTGAATGTGAATTTTGATTATGATACTTTGGTGTTGTTAATTACAATGTGATGTTGTAGTGATGTATGTTACATTAAATTTTCTATGATCGCCACACTATACATGAAATATAATAGAATAGAACTTCTTTATTTTCCATGAAGAACTTGAAAAATCTCCTTGTAAATTTCTAAGTAAATGGCATGATAAAGTTCCAAATTTCATCATGTATGGCTTGGCTTATTAGAATTTGCTTTCAACATACTCATATAAAATATTAACACTTTGATCCAAAATAGTTGTATTATATTTCTCAAGCGTCGTTATTCTTGAAATAAAATGTAGGTGCATGTTAACTCGACATCATCTATTCAACATCAACAAAATGTGATTGGAGAATTTATCTTTTAACCATATATAATAATAGCAACAAATTTTAAGTTATGGTTTATCACTAATTTGAATATTATTTTTTCTTAAAATATAAATTATATTTATTATCAAATAGTATGATTGATTATGAAATCTAAATTTGTACAAAAGATTGATTTGACAATCTATTTTATATGAATACATTTTCTTGTTTCAAATAAGAAACTACACAAAAAAATGTATAAAAACTAAAAATACATGTTCAAACTAACAAATTATTTATGAAAGTGTATTTAAAATGATATAATTTTTTAATTAAATATTTAATTATTATAAAAATGATATACATTTACATTATATCATAAATTTGTGAAATTACTAAATTAAATGAATTTTGAATCTTTAAAATGTATCTGTCTAATATATTCAAAAAATTCGTGTTTAGTTATTTCAAAAATTTGTGATCTATTTTTATTTACAGATAGTAAATTCTTATATCAGTCTTTGGTAAATTTTCATTCTAATGAATATAATCTTTGGTTCTAAAATTCAGCTTCATCATCTTAATAAAAAAAATATAGAAATATGTAAAATTTTCTAAATTAAATAATCATAGTTAATTCAAACAAGAATTGGCTACAAATTTTGCAAGTTCTCATAAACTTATTCTTATTAAAATTGCAAAATACATCTTTTATATATTATTTTAATTTTTATATATCAATGAATAGCCTATTTAGATTGAATTGTAATAAGTACATAAATGTTTGATGTCATCTTTGCATATTATTTTTATTATTCTCAGGATTAATCACTTTTTTACAAAAATCAATTTTTTATGAGATATACTTCTAATACTGCATACATTAGAATTTATGCACAATACATATAATATTATAAAATGGCTTTTTTGTTTGGTTTATTCAAGTGATAAATAAGTTATTTAGGAAATAAATAACTTTTAAAATAATTTTTGAGATTATATTTCAATTATTTATTTTTCATGAATCGTTGAATAGAAATAAATTTTAAAGAAATTTTAAATGTCATTGTTTATGATACATGTATTACATCATCATACAAAGAAAATTAATGTATATTAAATAAGTGATGAAAGTTTGGACACGTAACATATTTCATTAAATGTTTTCAGCACATGAAATAACATAATTAGATTTGAAATATAACTGATAATTTCAACTAAATGTGAAATAATCTTGTGATGATTTCGTAAGAAGTAAAATTTTTTGAATAATCAAAGCTAGTATTAAAAAAAAATCTCAATTTCTTTAATGAACATACTTGTGTTGCTCACTGAATGTAAATTTTAAACAATCATGAATTTTTTGTATATTTATAATTCTTCATTATTTTTTAGTTCACATATATACAATTTTTTTAAATTGAACTATATTATACATATATGCTTGGTTGAATCTTGTGAAATTCATTTACATTAAATTTGAAATGTTAGAAATTAAAATTCCTTTGACTTTTTTTATTAAATTTCTATTTAATTCAGTTTCATGACAGTTTCATCATTTTTTACAATAGTGATCGATGTTCATTAAAACATTGAAACTTCATTTTATTAAGTTGATAGTCCACATCATTTGCAAAAAAATAATATCCAGAGATTGCTTATTGCCTTGATACCCTAAAAACTCACTCACTAACTGAAATAAATGACAAGAATCTATTTGTAAATATGAAAACATACTTCTCAGTTATAAATTTTCTTAGCACTTTATTATATATTTTTATCGTAGATTATATTTTTAATGATAATTGATTTTCATATTAATTTTTACTGCCTATTTTTTTATTTGTGTGATAAAATTATACTGTTTGTAAAATTTTGTAAAATAAAATTGTGTATATTTATTTTTAAAACAAGTATCTCATTATTGATGATTTTTTCAAATATTTTAAAAAATTAAATGAAATTTCTTTAAAATAAAGCTCAAAACATCATTTTTCTTTACATTTAATGTATAAATTTAAACATTTATTTAAAAAAATTACTCTAGAATTATTAGATTTTATGCTATATTTTATTTTCAAACCTTTTGAAATTTTTATCTATTCGTTCATCTTTAATGATATGAATTCACAATGTAAAAAATATACTTTAAATTTTATTATATCCATATTTAAAACTTTAAAATCTGATCTTATATATTACATATATTTATCTTACAATTATATATAAAATAATTTTGAAAAAAATAATTTTAAAAAAATAACGAAATTTTCCGATTAATCTAATGTATCTAGCGTTTGTATTATTAAGATAAAAATCATCACAATATTATTAAATGATCATACATATTACTAAAAATTTATTTTCATAAAAAAATTTGTAGTTAAGTTTTTTAGCAAAAAAATCTTCTTTAATAAATATAAAATTTAAATTATAATGATAATATTATAATTTAAAATTGATCAAAACATTAAGCACTTAAATAGAAATATTTATTGTAGTCATTTTGACAATAATTGTTGCATTAATTTATTGCAAGTTTTAAATTTAGATGCCATAGAGCGATTACACACTTAGAGAACATAGAAAAATTTGACAAACAAGATGTGTGTTTTCTCTCTACTGATATTAAGCTCGTGATAACACAAATATGTAATAACCTTATGTATTATGAAAAACTGTGATCAACTATAATGTATAATGATAGTAATCCTAAACCTATTACTAAAAGAGCAATAAAATGAATAACAAAGATTCAAATTAACTATTTCACATCTATTTTTATATTCATGTCTTGAGGTTTCAAATTTCTATAATTTATATGATTACTTTATAGCAATATCTAGAAGTAAAAAAAGCATTGATCAGAATTTAAACTAAAGCTAATTCAAACTATTATAGACAAAATAGTGAATATTATTAAAATATATAGATTCAATAAAAGATGAGACAATATAAGCATCTTTAGCTAGCTAGATTTAAAATAGAGTTTGATCAAAACAGAGATTTAGTTACATTTTAATGAATTATCTATAGTTATCATCTCAATAATTCATGTGTTTGACAGATAGAAAGTCAATGTGTTAGTTGATAGCAACACGACAATTACTTATTAGAATTATTTGTCATGTTATCAATACATTAAAATGAAATGGATGGTAAAATTGATATTTTATCTTCTTATACTTGTTGGTAAAATCTATATAACTGAGAGAAAAATCATTCTATCTTTCATCTTCAAAGTTGTACTTATCTTTGAATTATCTTTTCTTTCAATACCTAGTATTACGCATAATTTCTTCACATTTTTTAGTGAAAATAATTCATAAAATGACTTAAAAAGACAAAAAATTAATTGCAGCCATTTTTTTCTATTAAAATCACCAAAATTGAGCTTGGTAAAAATCATCTACTACATATGAAAAATCATCTACTACATATAAATCTAACCTTGAAGTTTATCTAACAAAAACATTGTTCAAGAAGAAGAAGCTATTGTAATTTAACATACTTGCCACTAGTTTACGCAACATATAGATTCAATGTAGTTGATGAGTTAATCAAATGTCAAAAAATTTAACCTTCTCATAAATTAGTCAATTCGTGAGTATCACATGTAGGTTCATCTTCAAGTGATTCTCTTTCAGAGCTTGCAAACTGTTGTTCTCGTAATTTGTTAGATACTCTTTTAACATCTCAATTATATTATGTACAATCATCATCTACTAACAACTTCATTTATAAATTGAAATAAATTTTATCATGTAAAATTATATTTAAGTCATACTTGATTCACATCTTCCATAGTTGTTTAGTTTTGTTTAGTTCTTGTTGCTACTGACGATTAGATAAGCCTAACAGCCCATGTAAGGTGTGCTTAATTTTCATTTATGATGAGACAGCGATGTGGTTTATATGATAATGTATTTGCGAAGGAAAGAAAGTTTGAACCATTTCCCTACCTGTAAGTTGCATTCAGAGGCTGCCACTTACGGACAGTAGAAATAATGATCGGTGCTTTCGGGTTGTAGACTGGGTAATTGAAATTCACATAAGGCAATTTCCGCAGAGAATATTCTTTGTCTATTGATTCAAATCACTTCGAGATTTTACAGAAAACGAAGTAAGGACAAGTTCAAGGTTTTCTCCCAACATTCACTTCCGTTGCTGATAGCAAGAAACGCCAACACACATCCATGTCTGATACCTCACTTACGGAGACGCAACATTCTGATCACCACAGCTATCAGTTCAAAAAATTAAAACATCATCTCAATCTGCTACTTCCTACAACAGGTGTCTAGCAACATATTCCATTTATGAGCATGTAAAACCAACCATCTTCTCTAAAGGCAGCCACACACAAGCAAGAAGGCGGTAAAAACGCAAAGAGAAGCATAGCCGTAGAACACAATTTTTCTGAGATGATATTAAGGCAGGGATTGCATTCATCGATACAAGTGATATCCACATGTATTCTCAGGCGAGAAGGTAATCCCTTGAGAGGCAGAACTAGGGATGGAAGGTATACTATGATATTACCCCCACTTCCAGTACATAGAAGTCGCGACAGACTGTGACTACTCCCGATTGAAAAAACTCAAGACGCACGCGGAAGCCTAACGGTCCAGATTTCTACACAAAGAGGTCAAGACATGATTCTCATCGTATAATCCACCGAGCACCCAGATATGTTTGTAACTTGACGACCCGAACTAGAACTACTCTCAGGGAAGTGTCACTCGTTTGCTTAGTTCCTGTCCGTAAGGACATTCAGCCAAAATTTACAGAATTTGATTCAGGAAAGTTTATTCAGACTGTTCGAATTTTCGTCGTAGATACTATACATAACAATGCAACACCCCCATCGTGGATGTCGAGGTGACCTTTTGACGTAGCATACGAATGATTTGAAAGCACACAAATAACCCTGGAAACGAAAGGGCAGAAGCTTCATATCAGGTCGAATTGGGAAGACGTGAAAGTTACTCATGCTTTTCTAAATCACGTGTGTAACACTAAGAAAAATCTACATTGTGAACCATACCTGAAATGATATATTTCAGGATCTAAAGAATAACACACTCGCTGCTATCAGTGTCATGTCTTCACTTTTTCTCGGCGAGCAAGATATCTCCGCCTGCCATCCAGCTTCTCCTCACAATTGGCTCAATTTGCCAAACTGACCGAGCAGCCGAACATCGATATTCTCGTGAACCAGAATAGTATTTACCGTAATCATGTTCCAATTTGTCTTTTGTCTGTTGCCTTGCAGAATATACACCTGATGTATCTATAGTACTCAGTCTCTTGCTGAACCGCCCAGGCTAAACATCAGATCAAGAAATAATATGGCCTGTACAAAGTGGCATCATCCCCCTTTCAAAAAGGGTTTTTATCCTCTGATGTTGCACAACGGGATTTGCTCAAGAGGGGCATTATCTACTTGAATGATGCCTCAATCTGCTCCAACGTCCGGCCTCGTGTTTCGGGTACAAACAAGGCAACAAAGATAACCGCAAAGACACACTCTACCGCAAATATCCAAAATGCTCCTGCAAGTCACAATTCGACCGTCAGTGCTCACCTTCTTTAACAAATTCATATCAATATGCCCCCATGGAACAAATCGTCAGATTAACATATCACGTACCTGCGGAGCTCCATTGAAAGATAATGTTGAATGTCAGAGTGATAACCCAGGCACTAGACCAATTGATTAGGGTTGCTAAACTTCCAGCTACACCTTTCACCTGTGCTGGAAAAATCTGCGCACAGGCCAGCAAACATCCTGAACGTCAATGCGAGGAAAGCAACTCGGCCAGCGAAGGACACAGGCGAAACATGACATTTTCAGCAAATCCGGGTTGATATAACACACATTTATATTTCTCAACAATTATCACTTTTGACTTACCTCTGCCATCAATATCCATGGGATAGGACCAAGTCCAAGAGAAAACGAAGCTATATATACCTGTCACGTAAAATAGAAAATGTCACGTAAGTTCGCGCGCACATAAACAACAGAACTATGAATGGACCCGAAGAACGAGATAGTACACCCTAAAATTTTTCATTTTATGAAATTGTTTATTAAAATAGTATTCAAAAATTTGAAAAATCGTTTTCTTCTAATTCAGTTTTTTTTTCACGACGAGCTGAGGTAATAGCACCTATTAAAGCAACTAAATTAGAACATCCAGACAATACTTACAAGAAGACTTGCTAAAGCAAGAATGTCGATGAAAATGTTCATGCCTGATGATAAATATTGCTCTTGTACATTCTGCAACAACAAAAAAAGACCATACATCAGCCCTGTCTGACAAAATCTTTCATCGCAGTCAAGACTATTGAGCGTATACTCTCTTATATTGAACAAAAATTACCGGAAACTTTATGCTACCACGAAAATTACATTCAACTAAGCAGTACAAGTTAACATTCAACCGTTAGGACACCAGCGATAAAGTTACTTACCCGCAAGTAAAAGGAGAACCCTACAAGAAAGCAACTCAATGCCATTCCACTCGCTGAAACCTGCAATAGAATCCGAAAGACATGAGCGAACAGATCACAAACCTCAATTTCTTGCCAAAGTGAAAGGAAAGTCGCGTACTCTGCTTACCATGAGAAGCAGGCGTCGGCCAGCTTTATCCATCAAACCCGCTGACGCAACGGTCATGACAACCTGCAAGGAACCTAATGCTAGGGAAGCCACATTGGCTGAAGAGATACCTGCACAAAGAGAAACCAACAATAAGGTAAGGCTCTGCCACGAACGACGTCAAGATGCAAAAGAGCTTCACAGCTTGAGACGAACGGTAAAGTAAATAGCGTAAAAGAACTTAAATCTTACCAGCAGAGGAAAATATGGCGCTTGAGTATAGCATAACACCATTAACACCACTAAATTGCTGCAAAAATTGAAGGCCGATACCAGCCTGCATACACATTCATATGATAACCAACGAGTCAAATATCTGCCACACTCCAATCAAAAAGGCTATAAAAGAAGCCAGCACTATAGTCTTGTTGATACTGTGGAAATACATAAGTCGGGAGAGCTTAAAGCAACTTCAGAGCTTCAAACTGGTTTCACTATAGAATATCAGCGAAACCATTACTTACAAAGAGGGGGCGTGCTAGCCTTCTCTTGAACAAGTCCGTGAACTGAGCTTGTGGTTCCGATTTAGCTGCCTCAACCGTTTGCTGCATCTCTCTCATTTCATTTGAGACATCATATTCCATTCCTCGCAGTTTCTTCAGGGACGCTTCAAGTTCTTCAGACTTCTCGTTCTTAGCCTGCGTTGGCGAATAAAGTTAGTCCAGTGTCCAGATGTCCATAATTTTTCGAGGCCAATAAAGATATTATCCACTTTGTTAGGACAATGGATTGACAGCTATTGAACCAAATTACAATTGGATGAGACTGATCAATGGTTTCAGTTGGAAATGGAACTCGAACACATAAAAATCTTCGGAAAAGTTGACATAACTTTCACCATGTACGAAATTTTTTTTTACCAATAACCATAGTGGGATAACAACCAGAAGAATAGGAAAACTCATCAGATTTTTTCAACGTAAAGTTAGGCACTCACTAGCCATCGAGGACTTTCTGGTATGAAAGTCAGCCCAATAAGACATATGATGATCGGAAACGTCCCTGCACGATAAAACTGGAGGGTCAGCCTAGGAAGTGGAAGCCTAAGTATCAACAACTGCTAAGGAGCTCAGCTATAAAATTTATCGTATGTAATTTTCTCCAAGACGCGCGCACCGTAATCACGACGGTTATCATCGCTAGTAGACTAGCACAAAGAAAAACGTGTACAACAAAATTGATACACTACAGAAATTCAGACATTGTATTCCATCTACAGTTAACACTATCATCATCACAGCGTTGATGATCACCGTATCTCACTCACCTGCGGCTGATAGATAGCGCCAATTCAAGAACAGACCTCCGAGGTATGCCAGCATAATACCAATTGTGACTGCAAGCTGTTCAGAAAATGTGCAGATTGGGTTGCAATAGATTGTTAGATATGTGACCACCTTACTATTACAGTAGATGAGCCTTCAGCCTTGAATTTTTTATCTCAAATCACCAATTTGCACAAATTGCTAGCAATAGAAGGAGAGAAATGCTTTGAAAAGTAAAGTTACTGCGTTGATGCCAAACGTACCTGCTGCATGGCACCAAGGGTACCTCGCAAATGGCGGGGAGCTATTTCCGCGATGTACACTGGTACCTATTGCACACAAAGTGAAGAAATAACGTGAACAAGCGAGCTTCGGCAAAAATTGATGAAGCCAAAGCTGAACAACAACATAACATCACATTACAGCAGAAGAATTAAGTAGTGTATTCTATGCTGGAAACAATTGCGTCCAGCTCGCAAAAAGTGCAACTTCCTACATAAAAAAATATTACATCTGATATTCTACATTCAAGAGGTCAACATTCTCACTTTTTACTTCAATGATTTCTGAAAGTAGTACCAAAAACATTCAAATTACTTACAACAAAGGAGACTATTCCTCCTCCAAGACCAGTCAAAAATCTGCCCGAATAAAGCGGCAATTTACCCTGCACGTCACAAATCAGTGATGAGCAACCTGTCAGCAAGTTCCTGGAGATAAGATCGAAGACTAAAATTACAGCACACTTTAAAATAAGTTTCGACCGTAGGGACGGCAAGTCCTCAAAACCTACACTAAGAATAATTATGTCGTACAAATTTATGTTTGTGAAGTAAAATGCACAAACGAACTAGCAGACTACCACCCATGTACAAAACCACTGACATTTTTTTTCTGGCCTTGGGAAAATTTACCAACAAGAGAATATACCTCAGCGAAGGTGATCAGAGCCGATCCTACTATACTGGGAAGACAGGCAACAAGGAGCGCCTGCAAACAGCACAACAGGAAACAGTCATACGCTGACGGTGAAAGAATGACCATGCCTTCTTAAGTATGCGGAAATACATGCATGCCACGTAACACAAGGTGAACATTCCGACAACAATCGAGGAAGTTGACTTACTCCTTTCCGGCCCAATGCATCTCCAAGTTTCCCACTGAGAACGGCTCCAAGCATTGCTCCCACGGTAACAAGGGAACCGAAGAAAGAAAACTGCCATAATCAAATCGCAGAGTTTAATTTCCCTTGTAGGTCTTCTCTTGAGAGGAATGAACATTGCCAACATAATCAGATTCATTACGATGTGCTAAAGATGTCTTACCTCTGAGACAGATAAATTAAGACTTTGAATGATCTGCTGCTGTACTGGAGACGTATATCCCATCTGCAATAACGCCAGCAGGTGTTAAGTTAATGAGCATCGATTACTGCAACATGTAAAAAATCTAACCCGTTCCAAGAAATCCGATCAAGCTACTACTTGACGACGAATGGTCGACCGCCCATGCAACTTGCATGCCCTCGACATTCTCAAATTTTGCCCAACACTTCTCATCTCGGCAGATTCGACTTGAGATTCAGTTGAAGCCAGCACATGAAATTTCAATACACGATGATCCACGAGTGGATGCAGAACATATTACTTGCGAATGTGGGTGATTCTTATTAAGCGTTCGACAACGGGGAGGCATCAAGAAGAAAACTGGGGACACATTCAGATCGCCTGCCTTCATAGCCTAGGACATGGCAATCATCGTCAACCCACCGAAAAACTGACAATCAATCAGAGGAATCTCCTTTGTGGCTCGGTAAACAGGTTCGTATTAACAGAAACCACTACTACCGGGTTACGACCATAGCGGACAACCACCTCATCGTCAGCGACAACTTCTCCAAAGCCATTCAAGCGAGTTCGGGACAGGGGCGGGCTGCGCATCAAGCGAATCGCAAATGCGAAGCTCTTGTACGACCCATACAAGAACTGGGAAGTCATATCCTGGACGTAGCGAGGCATGATTCACATACAGACTACCCCACCCCAAGAAACAATCCTGCAAATACAATGTTGGTTCAGACAGAAGCTTTGGAAGATTATTCGCCGTCAGGCTCGAATGGCACTTTTCCGAGCCACCAAAGATCAAACAGTCCTCCTTGAAAGAAATCCATAACAGCAGTGGACAAAAAATTGGGCTCCCGAGACGAACGCCACCCGAGCCAGAAAGTCAGAGACGTGTTCGGTCCTCAAATTGTAACAATCGACGACAATAACATCCGATCAGCTTGGCAGTTGTTGACAGTTGTCAGATCAAGGATAACGGAGAAGATGATAGACGGAAGCTCCTCCTCCAGGAATCAACCAAAGTGTTCATCGTGGAGAGAACAATGAGACTTCCGGATCGCCATTTGAGTGATCTGGAACAGTACAAGAGCTCTATCCTTGCGGTGAAAGCCATTCATCCACGCTGTACGAATCACTCATGTACAAATGACAGAGCTAATGCGAAATATGACTTGAATGCGTGCGCACTGTTACAGACACCTCTAGCGCAGTCAAAAGGTGTGGGGCGTCACGAGAGAATCGACAAGGGAGGCAATTCGATCGAGAAGGAGGCACGAGAAGAAGGAACCCACCTGGAATCCTAGAGACGTAGGTCCCATTACCGCTATACACGTCGAGATATAGACCCATGTTTCCTTGATTTTACTTTCTTCTCGCGTAATATGCCGGGACCTGGCCTGGATCTTCTTCAGAAGAGGTTTCTTCAGTGGATTCTTGTGCTCAGCATTTCCTGAATGAGTTGATTGACTAGGAGGAGCCATCCTTGGGACCTTAACTTCGAACTATCAAGCTGCACGTCCCGCAACAGCGCACGATCCGGGCTCGAAGCCTTGCGACACCGCGTACTTTACAACAGCGAGGGCATGCGTGGGCCCGAGCGTCGTGCAAGCAACACCAATCCGCAACCCAATTACCACAACAACAACCACCACCCAAACGCCTTCCGCCAATTTTCGTCCTTGTCTGTCTCGCTCGTCGTCTTCCTCCGTGCGTGTGGTCTGCAGTAGTCCCCAAGTCGACGATCGATCTGCACAACTCAGCCCTTACATATTGCCCATGCTGCTCGCCCAGCCGGTATCAGCAACATAATCCGCTACACTCAAAAGAGGTCCGATCCTGCGCTTCGAGGCTTTCAGATCGTTCTCGCAACACCTCCCCGCACAGAAGACCTCACTCACAGACAATCCACACAACATAATAATCGTTGGACCTCCAGGTTGATCATCAAAGCCTCAAAGCCTCGTCCTCGGCCCTCCCGCTCCACTCCGACCACCCCCCGACTCCCCGGGGCCCGTCTCGCCTCGTCCTCAACCTCGACCTCGTCGTCTGCGTCTGAGACCGCTTCGTCCTCTGCTGCTGGCTGGCTGGCTTCCCGAATGAATGCCCCTCTCACCTCCTCCCCCTCTCCGTCTTTGTGTTTTGGTCTTGTTGTATACTGCCGATTGGTTTCCGATCAGCTTTCGTCTGGCCCCGGCGTCCTCGTTGATGATGAATCCGTCCGTCGGCGGCGTCGTCGTCGTCGTTGTTGCCCCTTCCTCCCTTCCCTTCCCTTCCTTCCCTCGGCGGCGGCTTCTTCTTCCTCTCCTCCCCCCGCTCCTTCCTATGGCGCTGCTGCTGCAACTTCTGCTGCTGCTGCCGCTGCTCTTCTTCTCTTCATCCTCCTTCAGAATGATGCGCGTCACCAACCGACCCCCCGCCAGCCCCAGAGCACCCCCCACCTCCCGCCTCCCACTCCACACTCCTCCTCCTCTGCTTCTCTCTTCTTCTCCTCCTCCTCCTTCTCGGTGGCCTCGGGCCCCCCTTCCCCCACGGGGGCCGGAGGCCACCCGGGTCCTCACTGTATCGACCAGGTTTCACCACTTGACCCCCGCGCAAGCCTCTAATTTTAGCCCCCACAGCCTGCCGTGTATTTTTCCCCTCCGCCTTTAAAAAAAGGGACAAAGCCATCTGCCCCTCGACTCAACAGCGATTTACTCACCACTGCTTGCTTCTTCCATTATTTACCCCAATGATCGTCCTCATTCTTTTATTTTATTTCATTTCATTTCTAATATTCTCCTCCCGTACTTCGGATTTGATTCAGTCCGGTCCGAGTCCGGAGGCACTGCGGCCCGCGAGGCTCCGATCCTCACAGTTGCCCGCAATGAAGAGAAGACCTTCCGGGCAGGGAGGAGATCTGCCCTTTGTGGATCGATCCCCCGTCGGGAGCTAGGAGGCCAACCAGCAGGACAGGAGAGCACGAAGCTGGCAACGGAGGTAGGAAGAGATCGAGGCCCAAGAGAGGGAGGAGTGCAAAAGGGTGAAGGATCTGGCACGCCCTCTTGCCTCTGGCCTGTTCTTCCTTCACGTCTGGTCAAATCGAGAGGATTATCTTACCGCGATAGAATTGGTGCTCCGGCGGATTGATTGATTGATTGGATTAGGGGTTTGTACTGCACCCCGCTCCTCCTCCTCCTGAGTCCTGGATCTTAATCTTGCCAGGATGATGGGGTTAAAAGCACTGTGGAGATCCAGATTGATGCGTCTTCGTCATGAACTCCAACCTTGTAGCTGGATAAGGATGTTGTTGTTCACCATCGTACGATATTGCAGCCGAGGCAACTCCACCCTGCAAAAATCCGCTCATACGCTTTTTTGACAAAATCTTTCCACCCTCCTTTACGGCACATAACAATGGAAGGTTCATCGTTCTCCTCCTTTTGTAAAACCAGATTTGGGCTGGCTAAAATAAACATCATCTGGTCGCTCGCTTGCGTCCCTCCTACCATTTATACGAGAAGGCTTGGGGTTTTGACAGTTGGGGTTCTTCAAGTGGTCGCTGGGATATTATTATGCTTTCATTGGCTACCATGTTACTTGGTCGTAAGCAAGGTTGAGCCCACATGTTCCATCTCTTCCTTCCGTCACACTTCAGTCTCACTTAGAGGGGGGAGACATCCTGTTCAAGGAGTGTCTTCGTTTCCATAACTGACATGTCTTGCCCTTGTCTGCACTCTTTCTTTCTACTCTAGTTCCCGCTACGACATCACTTAAGAACCGACAACGACCATTTCCATCTCCCTTCCCTTGTCTCGTGAAGCAAACTGCGACTCAGAAAGTCTGAATTCTAGCTTCTAGAAATGCGTAAGACATGCGTCTACCTGACTTCTCGTTTAGCAAACTGCGACTCAGAAAGTCCGAATTCTAGCTTCTAGAAACGCGTAAGACATGCGTCTACCTGACTTCTCATCCGACAATGACCGGTAAACGTCTTTGTGTAAGCCTGCTTGTAACTCGGAAAGACTGATTCTCGGTTCCCAACTTTCCTACAATCCGCTTCACATAACCCTAGCGTCATCGAGTTGATGACAAAGAGTAATTTCCAAGACAAAGAAGATTGCACCCATTGATTTAGTCATGATTACAATCCACATAGAATATTTGTCTAATGTAGTAGTAAATATTTCAAAGGCTGTGAGACTAGGAACACCGAAGAATTCTCTTGAGTCAGAAAATTATTTTTAATAATTACTTCAATATATGGATCGAAGATTATATACAACATATTTCTATAAAAAGCGAATCTAGTCAGTGATGTTATATATGACACTGTTTGACACTCGGCAACAAGTCTTCGTCAATGTAGGAGTTTCAATACTAAGGTCAATAAGTTTGATCACAGTCATTGCATTTTATGAAGTTAGCGAATGACGTCCTGCCAATTAATCCCAACTCTGGAAAGTTGAAGCCTTTATATTGAACACTGTGGACATAAAATAATGCATGACAATTATGTTCGCAAACTTCAAGACCGAACAAGCTTGTCCTGAGCTAAAGATTGTTTGTTCTTTGTATGGCGACTCACTTGTGTACATAAAGAAATAAATATTCCGAAAGAACAGCCATCGAGCGCCAGTGCAAATCTTACACGCACCAAAAGGGCTTTGTTGGCTCAAGACTCCCAAGAAATCGTTGCAGCGTTCGCGGTGCCCAGAGCTGATAAAGGTCGTCGGCATATTCTCTCCTCTAGAAGTTTTCTCGTGAGCAGTCATGCCAACAATCACAAAAATTCAAAATCAATTCTCTGGCCACTCGACAGAATTCTCACACCGAAAAGAGGTAACTCCATACTTTCCCACGAGGCGTCGTAAACCCGAGCGGCCGATTTGTCGTCCGACCATCGTCTCCTCTGCTCTCATCGTCCAAGAAGCTCAAGAAAAGCCGCGGGACCCCAAAGATGCACATCGGGAGAAACTCCCGATATTCTGCGGAAAGCGCGAAAGTAGGGCAACGGCGTGAGCATCTCCTTTCGGCCGACATTATCGGGCACGCCTTTCCTAGCGGGGTCCGTCCTGTACCCGGGAGGTACCGGAGCGCTCGGGTGTGCCTATCCCAAACTGGGTGCGTTCTACCCGGTGAGCTTCTGGATCCGACGCAGGCAGACAGCATGGTAACGTAGAGCAGTACAACGGTCAGTGGATCGGTTAACACCTCCGCCGACGGCACAGTGGTCTACCAAAACAGTTGCTCGCTTGGCAGCTCGATCTACAGGCGGTCCTCGATGGAAAGCGGTCGCCCATGCTAATATCCGCCGGGAAGTCTGGTTTGTCTGGTCGATCAGCCACGCGGGTGCGGACACGTGGAGATGGAACCGGCGAGCCAGTCCTGGCCTTCTCGAGCATCCTTTTGCGCTTACTTCGTCCCGGCGACTAATGTGAACCGAGCGACCAGTCTTTTGACAGCGTAACTTGGCGCTCTTCTACCACGTCAGATCCCGAAAGAGAACTGTGGTGGGGTGTGGAGTAATTTGCCCTGTGCATGTGGTGATTGATTACCTGTTACCAACCGTGCGAACGCTTTCCAGGTCCAGGAGGTTTGGGAAACGAGATTCACGTTATGCAAGCTCTCGTACTTGTTCGCTTTCGTCTAGTTCTGCGTCAAAGGGGAAGCTAGATTGCTGTTTCCAGTCTGTACTGTCTGCTTGATAGCCATATGTTTTAATATTTTGGTAAATGTTTGGTACGATTTGTATATACCCGCTATGATGCATGTGGTCAGGCAATTTCAGGAAACCCGAGAGTCTCTGGAAATACAAAGTGTCCAATATAATTGCATCTCTTCTGCTTCACCAAGGAAAGAATATCTCTCAGTACTGTAGTTATGTCTTTAGATATACATGTCATCCTACAAATTAAATTAAATTTGGTTATCCAACGAGAATATATGTCGAACGTGAAGAAGATAATGTTCACAAGTATCACATCTTTGATTATTATTGGGTTATTATATGAGTTTATTTCACCTTCTCTCGTTGAAATTTTTGGATCATAATTGTAAATGCAAGTTGATTGAAATAAAAATTAAAAATTGAATAAAAATTGCAAATCTTTTAATTCTGGTCTTAGATCGTACTTCGGAAAGGAGATAATTTAATTTAATTTATGAATTTCAGTTCCGTTTTACTTAAAGATCAATGCAGATTGGATATTCCTAAATCAGAGAAATTATTTTAATGAAAAATATATTGTGAAATATATTAGATCTTAACAGAGAATATAAATAAAAAGACTAGCTTCAAAATAATAATTAAATAATTAAATTTTATAAATTGTACTGTAATATACGATTAAAAAAATCGGTTTGTACAAAGGCACATTTCAGAACGAATTTTCTTTAAGTTTCATCGATCAAATAAAAATTATCGTACATATAAGAAAGACTGAAATAAACTTTGATGTTTTCAGGTTTCAGTAAATTTTGGAAATATTTTTTTCTTCAAACCAAAACTATAAAGCCTTGGAAGATGGTTCATAAATGGTCTACCTGACAGGTAGATGAGTTAAAACCAAACCCTATGTACAAGTTTTTGATATCAAGGATGTAAATAATGACTCAGAGATATTAAAGTGACAGAATATTTTGTAGGTATGAATGCTACATTTATCTCACTTAAAAATATATACATCATATGCATTATGATCATTAGATAAGTGATGAGGATGACACCTACCTTTGATCTGCATTTGCAGTCCCACTTGACCTCCCGAATGCATTTATCGGAGCCCGTCCTCGTCCACTTTCTCATCGGCCCGACTATGCTGTGGTTAACAGTATGGTTCTTACATGGATCCATCACCTTCAGAGATTTTATTCAAATTTCAAAGTTTATTGATCTATCACCTTCAGAGACTGAACATTCACCCAATGAAAGTGGGAATACGACTTCAAATGGATTTATTTACTTTCCACATACCCCAAAGCGTATGAGAATGCTGAAGTGAAGACAGCAAGTACTGTGAGGAACTTTGCTTCCGTGCAATTTCACTGCAGCAAGATTGTGGCTTTTCATGTCTCATTGCAAACGTAAGCCTAGGGGGCACAGAGGTGGCCACAATATTGACACGTTCCTCATCATCACGATTTTTTGGGTTTCCACGTCCCGACAGAGCTATGGGGAGCTATGGCGTTGTAGGGGAAGGTCAAAGAGCCTGAACACATACAGACTTTGTTACATATGAAAAGTGCACTCTAAAGCAAGTCCCAGACCTGAAGTGCGTCCGGCACAGCTGACGACAGCCCGTGACGTAGGAATCTGATGTGGAAGGGGGAGCCACGTCAGGAGCTAAACATTACAGGGTGCCGGATATGCAGAAGAGATTTACACGTAAGCTTCATTCGCAGGCGAAGATACAGTGTTATCTCCACGTGTGTTACGGATCAAGACTGTAGTCGGCGAGAAAAGTTCGTCTTTCTCCGTCCTACGAGTTGTCGGATGTGGTTCGGTACCTACGTGGTTGGATTGCCCAGCGTAAAACATGAGCCGATCCAGTATGACTTCAGGATTTTTAGATAAAAAAGTTGGTGATGTACTAATATAAGCTTGAATATAAGCATTTATTTCATTATTATTTTTAGGTGAAATCAGTTTGCATCAGAAGTGCCGCCTTTCTCCTCGTCCGTCAAAACTGATGCTCTGCATTTTAAACTCCTCATTGTGCATCTCGCTTACGATTCGCTGACATGATTTGGCAGGACAGGTTTGCATCCCTTCCTTCTATACTAATGGCAGTCCTTCCACGGTGGACGCCACCCATGACCAATTACTGATTCCGACCAAGGCCTAATCGGCAATTAGGCCTTGGTCGGAATACCTCTAGGGAGATGTCAGCCTCTATAACGATACCAACTGGAGAACCCAACATGTAAACCTCCAATCTAATCAAATATACGGGTTCATAAAGTATGTTCCTTTTGGTGACAATGCCAATGAGAAAGCAAGTAATTGTAATGACAACTTCCGTTGACGAAAAAATTGAATAGTTAAATACCAGAAAGCTTGAAAGTATTAAATATTGTATTTACTGACTTGTGTGGCAAATCCTGTTGCAGTGTAAAACTTCATAATTTTTCGCTGGAACTTGAACTTGATGATTTCGGTTGAGAAGAAGTAACATTGAGGTTTCCACTGTAACTTTCAAAGGTCAGTATCTATCTGTTTATTTTATTTTTATAAATAAACCGGGTACACATGAAGGACACCGACCTCTACTTGATCGAGTTCGTTGTCTAACAACGACGGATGCTTCGAGCGCACTGTTGGACAAACCGGTCTTTAAGCCCAAGAGATCCCCAAGTCAAAGTCTACAGAATCTAACCATTGGCTTTTATTCCGGCAAGAGTCCCACTCTCAAGAAAGAGAAATAAATAAATAGATATGGGTGCCCAGTACGATGGCATTGTGACTCTGAATGGAAAGATATTATTTATTATGGGGCTTGTGTTTTAGGCGGATTAGACAAGAACACGGTGTACTCAAACTGTCAGTGAAGGGACAATGTTAACAGAAGACTTACGAATAAGACAAGCTACAGTCCAGCCAAATGTTGTAATACTTTCCAGCAAGCAAAGAGCCACACATAGTGCAAATGATTTGTTGCTTTTCCACATTTTGTGCAATCAAAGCTCACTATGCCCGAGCCTGATTGCCTGAAGGTATGACATAAGAAAAGACTCATATTTTGTATTTTGCCTAAGTTCGAACCATATACAGAAGGAATACCTCCAATGAGCTCTTCAACTTACAACTGACTTCAGTGCAGATATTGTCAGTTGATAGCAAGATCTTGGACATGTGATCCACATTGAGGCGTCGGCCCATTGTGTTTGATATCTCAATACAAGACACTAAACTTAATCTTCTAGTATTATTGTATGGATTATCGGATTGTTGTAAATCTGGCTTGAAGATGCGTTAGTAGTACCTTTTGTTGTAACATGAATCATTTTGGGAGCGGTTAGTCATCACTTAGTTAGGGTTAATTAGCCCTCATTCTACTATATTCAGTTGTCTGATTGGTCCATGGAGGGTTATAGGGTTCGTGTATGAGTAGCAACTACTTCCAAAATAGTGTGTTAGACCGATCAAAGATGAGCATGTAGGGTGTTCTATCAATCAAAAATGAAGTATAGTAGAGTGAGTGCTAATAAGCTCTAAGTGAAAGATAACTAGTCACTCCCGTCATTTTAAGTGAAAATTGAAACTATAGAGTTTCAACGATAAGTAGAGTGTGCACTTTGATATTTTGGGAAAATATTGATTGGAAGAGGGATGATGGTCATGCATGACCTAGTATGAGGTGAAACGAGTCATCCAGCAAAATGTGTGGGAAGATCTCATCAAGTAGTACAGGAAGGAAACCAAAATGGTAAGATTGGGCTAGGCCCACCTCCATGTTGTTCATGACCTAGTACATGAATACAGAGGCACTGAGCCATGGCACGATGCATTATTTTAACAATTACCGTTTATATATTGTGAACGACTGTGTACTTCTGACGTAATATCAACAAACGTAGATGACAATCTTCATGATTTGATACATAGTCTCAACAACACCTTCCAAAATTGCTACGCACAATTAGCTAATTATAAAGATACACGATGTATGATAAAGATAATTTGTATCTAACTTTCTAAATGAATATGCACATTTATTCCTTGACATGTGAAAGCGATTGCATAAACCTATGAAGCAGTATTCGGAGTTTAGATTAAAAAATAAATTGAGAAAAAAGATAGCCACGTTTCTACATATGCTAGAATGGGCAGAAGGTAGTCATTCTCCATAACTTTGTCAAATCAAATATAGATATATCGTAATGTTGATCAAGCATTAGAAATAACAATAACAATTTAATCTTCGATTTATATATCTTCGATGATGTTAAATATACGTTATCATGTATCACTACATTGTCATCTTAAACATAAAAGATATAGATATATACGACTAGAGAGAGCTAAACGCTAGGCATGTATATGTATTTTTGCAACGAGAGTGATGCATCCCTACACTTTCCGTTATATATGCCCAGGAATTTGTTTCTGATCCATATCAACCGTCAATTGTGGTATGGTCAGAAAGTCGAAGCGGAAAGCGCCTCCGCTTTCTTCGAGTTTTCTCACTGGAAGGAAGACCAACACGTCGGAAAGCCTCACGAGCAAGGAAGCAAGGTGTCAACCTCACCATGGTCGAGGAATGTTGGACACCATGGCCAGAGGACCAGAACGTCCGTGGGCAGATCGGACGTGGCGACAGATGCAATGGACGTTCTGTGTAGAGGAGGAAGTTGGAGAGCAGTTGGTAGGGGATTGAAGCAGTGAGAGGGGATTGGACCAGAGCTTGTCAGGCTCGAGTATTGGTGATTTTTAGATGGTGCCTTTCGTCCTCTGCCTCGGATCTTCCGTTGATTCCTATGCGGGAAAATTTCCATTGTCAACAGCATTGGAGTGCCCTCTTTCATTGGCCATGCCTAGAATTCCGAGAGCAGGTGTGGTTGGTTCGGCGTGATTCGATCGCATCGAAGGTTATGCAGTCATGCTTTGGGAAGACTCTATATCCAATCCACTGCGGACATGGCTTGTTAACTGTCTCGAGACATTCTTACATTTGGGGACTTTTAGTGGAGATCTGCTGCTACTCTCTCATTGAGTGACACGGAGAGGCAGAATGCAGTAAAAGGCGACACAGCCAGTTCTAACCTCAAATTATATAAATTGAAAATTTGTCCATGGACATCGTACTTAAAGTGACCCATCCTACCCCTTTGATTTCTTACTTCGGAGATTTTGATGGGGTTTTGGATTTCTTTTCGCTATAATACTTAAAGAGACTGAGCTGGACATCATCTGAACCAGCACAATGGCTAGAGATCGATCGTACAATCTGACGAACGCTCGGTCTCTTTTGACATACCATCCGCCATGAATCAGCCCTTGCCAGCAAGACAGCAATCCACACGGAAAGCTCCCGGAAGTCACGAATCGACTGAAACTGAAACCTGGACGATGGAACGCCCAGCAATCCCCTCCCTCGACACCTCCAGCTGTATTCTTCTCAGGAGTTCTCTATGGGGACGAATAGAATAATTTGACCTGCTAATATGGTGGCGTTGTGAGGTCTGAACCACTGCATACCGTTCGTTAAAATAGATCCTTTGAGTCTTGGTTGGTCTGCAGCCCATACACATATGACACCAATACCCCATGGAAGGTGATGAAGAGACCACTTATGTGTGCTACTCTTAGGTAAGAGTGGGCATGCATGGAATACAATTCTAGAGCAGTTCAACTGGATTGTTCGAATGGCTCCTCGACCACACAACAATATTCTAATGAACGAGCGGACATTGTGTTGTGAGCTCTAACGTTGGACACCATGCTTCGCACCCACAAGTGTCGGCAGGGTCGTTACGACACTTTGTCATGTGCAAGGGAGGTAGAGCTTGTTAATGTCATCGTCATGGTGTATCATGGTGTGTCAAGCCGTCTCAAGAGAACAACACCGAACGTCAACAACTGCCCTGTGCAGAGATCTATAACCAACAAACCAGGGATACCACTCAGTTCATCTGGAGATCTGTAGCTTCGGAAGGAAACGGGTGCAGTAGACACGGTGTACATTGGCCAAGTCCTTACGTCATGTCTAATTCGACTCGTCGTTTTCAGTTTCTGTATACTAATTTCTTTTCCAGATTTTTAAATTATCCATTAGTTTGAGTAGATCGTCGGAGACAACCGTACTTCTAGAAATCCGGACTGATGATTTTGAGCCGATTCGGAATACATATAGTTAATATTCTCAATGAACAGCAGATACGAAAGAAAGAATAAATAAGTGAGGAGGTCCTAGAGACTGATACATTGCACGAGTGCGATAGTCTGTGATGAACATAATATACCATACATATGAAACACGTGGGAGACGCGTGCAAAATAAAGCATCGAAAGAGATTTCATGTTTCTCCGTAAGGAAGAAGGCCCTGATAGGAATCACTTCCAAATGTAAGGAAAGTGTAGCAGACTAAAAGAACTGTATCTTACTGATCGGACGACGAGTTGGAGTCTATATGTCAATAAGATACATGATTTTTATTGTGTATGCTGCTTCACACGCTAATGATTAAGCAAAGTGTTTGGGTAACTCATTCCAGACTTATTGCACCAACTGTTTGATAATCGTTATCACGGCATCTAACTTCTCACGGTCATGAGCCACATTCCTTTTAACATCCGCAAAGATCTTGCTTCTAGATCTTTCTTCTGAATCAATTTTCGTAAACACAGATAAGAGAACTGCTATTGGATAGTATAGAGTGGGATTCTTGGCTTAGATTTTCAGAGCTGCTCATTGTTCCATCATTGCATTAAATCTTCGTGGACGATGCTGCCAATGTGAAGAACGTACCTCGCTTGGAAAGTGCACCGTCGAGGTGTATTACACTTTCAGCCACGTTTGTTCCAAGCAGGACTCTCAAGGAAACCAGTTATATTGCTGTAAAACTGAGAAGTCGATCTACAAACTGATGGCCTTACTTGTTATCGGTGTAGAGCAAGAAATCATGTCTTCTTCATTTTCCATGAATGTGCATGTTTGAACCATCCTCATGCGGAATCTGGAGAACTTGAAGCAGTACATGTGAGTTTGTTGTATGAAAGAAATATGCAAAAGCTTCTCTCTATATTTAATCTGAGTCAAGGTCTTCGCTCTACGGTGGTCGTGGTGTCCACGAAAGAATCCGGATTACCTCTCATAATAAAGCTCGAAGTTTGGACGAGATTCGCAACTTGTCGACTTGTCGGTCAATTGCATCCTTATGCTCAGGTCGTGCAACTGGGCCTTCGAGGCCAATCAGCAGTCATACATATGAGGATGATATGCGTTATCATAGTACAACCGACCACAATCATCTTCAAGAGGTAATTGACAATATCATAAATAAACGGAAGAGATGTTGAAAGTATCCAAGTGGATAAAAAGAAAAATATAGGAAGCCCATCAAGCATGAATCCCAACGGGTAATAGCGCCAGGGTTTAACAGTATAATACTGAATAAGTATATTTTAGTGTTTACATTATCTCAGGTATTTATATCAATTTATCCACACATAATACGAACATATCACCTGAAATGACACTCTCTCAAATATAGTTATTTTCTAATTTACAACTGTTGTATTACCATCCACCATACGTTTCAAAATTAATGTTACCTTTTGCAGCATCAGACATAACAGCAGACAAATTTTTAAAATGCACATTTCAGATTATGTTTTAAAAAAGTTTGAAATATTTATATTTTATATTCTATGTAAAATTTTAATTTGAATATATTGAAACATTCATAAAAAAAACAGAACCTCACCCTAAAACCACCTCAAGATCGAATCAAAAAAATTCAGATCTTGATTTTAAATTAACATGTATTCATCTTTTTAATATTTTGTCATTTAATAGAACTGTTCGCAAAAATGACCATGAGTGGCAATTTTTTCATCTCATATATTATATCGACATTAAAGTTGTGAGATCTACTTTTGCAATTTTGAGATAAAATTCTTACAATTGTAATAATATTACATGATTTCATTCAAAAGCTTTCAACAATTTATGGGTTAGTGAGTCTATCTATATTTGATATGATAAATACATCATCAATTGAAGTTAATAACATTTGTTTCATCTCGTTCTTTCTGTTTGACTCACACAATTGTGATATGATTCAGCAACGAATACATTGTTACTATATCTTTAAATGGTATGACAGAAACATCCACAATTATTTTTAAAGTCAAATCTTAATTGAATAAAAATCTTGAAATTTGCAATAGATTATGTACATTCAAAATTTATGTAAAATTTACTTCAATTAAACCATATCATAAAGGTTGATATGATTGTACGGTTGCTAGTGTTAACTCGTGCATACTAAAATCTGGTGTTTTTTTAGTCTCCAAATTTGCCAAAATTAATCCGGCCAATATGCCAGAATTAATCAAGCATCCATAGTCGACACATGTATAAAGTTTAGCGCAAGAATACAAGGACAAGGAGGGAGGTGAAGGGTTTAGAATCGGTGGGAGTATGTAGAGAATTTCGCAAACATGCAAGGGGAGGGCGGGAAGGAATAACTTAGGGATGCATTCCTAACCGTTAGGATTGCATTCTTCCGATGTTTTCTTGTCTGCAAGCTTTCAAGTCACAGTGAAGCTTTTGCAATCCATCATGGGTGAAAAAATGTCTTTTCGGATCAAACATGACATCGAGTTTGATCTCCGACCGGTTTAGCGATCTGTGTAGGGTACCATCACAACAATTCAAGGTCTGTTTTGCGTCCATATTGGTCATGAAAAACGCTATGGTGCAGGTGTGAAGCGACAACAAACCAAGAACATGCAACTGTTTCAATTTCCGTTTTGTCTTGAAGCCTACAAAAATCAGTTGGAGTCTCAACATCCTGAGGATTAGACCAGTTACCAAGTGCTTTCGCATCAAGAGAAGGTTAATTTTCTTCAAGACAAAAGATATATTAGTCATACACCGTTATCTAGACACAAACAAGGACATTCTTCAATTTGTAATTTCTCAGTCTCTGATTGTTGATGTTGTGATGGAAGATTTGTTTTTTTATTCGGAAGAAGACGAAGAAGACATGCTTTCCAATCAATCACCAAGATCAGCCACCATCCATCAGCGACATCAGCCAAACGTATCATATCTAATTACAATCAAGAACTTTTTCTGATTCATGCCATGCAACACGTTTTCGTTGGATTGTCATTTAGGCGGAGGTCTAAGGTGATTGAACAACATCGTGCAGTGATCAAGAATTCAAAATTGAATGGCCTCAACGAGCATATGGTGAATAAGTTCGTGCGTGTGCATCTTGCCGTCGCCCTGCAAATCATCTCCTATATATCCATGGATCCAATCATTTGGGTGTTTTCTCTAACGGCTGATGCAAGCACACATTTGGAAATTCCTGTCCTTGATCAAGGAATTTGCGTGTGCGTGAAAGACATGTTGTACAACTTCCACCTTGTGCTGGTTCCATTCTTTGAACGCCATACCGCTCAAAACTTCGTCAAGCTCATCAAGACTCTACTTGATAGCATGTATCCATCTTGGCGCAACAAGATCATTTCAATCAATTTAGATGGAGAATACACAATGACCATTAGGCACATTGGAGTTGTCACATTGTTTGAGAAAGATTGTTCCAATTCTGTTCTTTGTATTTGGTGTGTTGCTCATCAGTTTGATACTATGGTAAAAAATGTCATGCATGGTGTGTTGAACGAGATGTTTTATAAATGTGCCCATGCATTCTCTCTGCATCTTAGAGCTTAACAAAATCTCATCAACAAAATGGGTTTCAAAAGCCCAAAAGACACAACGCGATGACTAGCGTTGGCAGTATTTTACATTGGTTTCTGGAAAATTGTCTTCGGTTGATGATTCACATGGAGAACAAAATACCTATCCAAGCTCCGTTCACGCAATGGTGGATCATTGTAAGAGTTCAATCGCCATTTTTTGAGTGGATTGCCTTCATTATCTCCTCAATCCAATCTTCAAAGTTTGTCATCTTTCAACAACGCCAAGAGTTGGCGAAGTTGATGACATACATTGCAAATAGTTTAGACATTCCTTCGACTACAGATGCTGCATTGAACAAAATTGATTACATCACAATCATTGAGCAAGATGGTTTGTTTGTAACAAAAAATTCT